CAGCCACTTCTTCCTGGCACTTGTTGGTATCAGACCACAAGTACCTTCAGGTCAGAGAGGGTTGCCAAATCCCTTCCTTTATGACTCCCACCAGGACCCAGGCAGACACTGTGCCCAATAAAAGGGGCAGAGTTCATTCTGGTCCTATTCCATCTGGTATGGAAGCAGATATTCCTTAAGTTTCCGTCTTCTAGCCCCAGGTAAGTTTGGGACAAGGAAGATAAGCCTCCCAGCCCCTCATCCTCCATCCCTTGTCTCGCCCTCCCCCCCACCTCTTTCACAGAGGCTTTCTTGTCTTTCAATCTCAGAAGACACTATGAGAAAGGGCAGGCAGCTGGCCTCACATCCTCACCTAACACATGGTTTCTTAACCTTGTTTGGGTCGTGGTCCCCTCTGACACTGTCGAGGAACCTACAGACCCCTTATCAGATTTAAATGATTAAAGGAACCGCTAAGTTACAGTTAGAGTTGAATGAAAATAAAGATACATTTTTTTCCCATCCAAATTCATGGGCCCCCTCCCCTAGTATATCCATGAGTCTATGGACCCCAGGTTAAGAACCTCTGATCTAACCTAAAGGGGGGGGCCGCCAGCACTGAACCCCAGCTCTCCCAGCCCAATTCTCCCCTGTCATCCCGCCCCCGCCTGCCTGGACTTTACATTCCAGTTCAGAGTGCTAGTCATAAAAGAGCATTTCCTGGTTTACTTAAGTGACCAATTTCTGGCTTGCATTGGAATTCGGAGTTGTGAATTTTCCAGAAAATCTCCATAGTTGTAAGAAACCCAACATGGGGAAAACTACAAACCCAAAGCCAAGTGAGAACCAAGGTGTTCCTGGAGAAGGCCATTCTCTCTTGGACGACAGACCTGACCCGACCCGACCCCCCCGCCCCAGCCGTTAGAAAAGGAGGAGGCAAGCCCCAAGGTAGCTCTGAGAAGAACACATGCCCTTTCAGAGAGGATTCAATGTGTGCAAGTCTCACTTCTGTCCTGCCCTTGCCACACTTTCCCGGGGCCTCAGGACCACTTAGGCCCCGTCCACCATCACTGCTCTTCTTACCACATAAACACACCCCACTCCTCTTGCAGTTCCCCTCCTCCTTTCTCGTTCCTCCCCCTCCCCCCTCTTTTTTGCCCATCGATGCCACAGCCTGAGCAGTGCTATGGAAGGCAGTGCTTTGGCCCAAAGGAGGCCGGGGGGTGCTAAAGGACTATATTCTTAAACTTCACTTACCTGCAAAGAGCAATATAGTAATATTTTAGAAGGGTAATTGTTCCCCACTTTCTTTTGTGGGATCTTTCCTGTTTTCTGTTGTTATTGTGGGTGTTTTTTTTTACCCTTTCACATACATGGATATATGTGAAGTATCTATGTGGTATGTACATGGGCAGGTGCCAACTTTTATTCCAAAATGTTAGATCTGGAGGGAAGCTTCCAGATCGGCTAAAAGTCTCTGGGTTCAAGTCCCTAAGGAGCAGAAGGAGGGAGACCTGTTGCCTAATCCCAGATAAATGATCCATCTCCACCAAGGACCTGCCTGACCTTGGACAAGCCCCTTTCTCTTTCTGGGCCTCTGTTTCCTCAACTGTAAAATAAGTGGGAAAGCAAATCAAATTTTAAAAAAATAACATAAAATGAGGGCATTGGATTCACAGATCCCTTTTAAGCTCCAACATCCCGTGATCCTTTCAAAGCTCTCCCTTCCTGGGCCTTAGCTTCCCACTGTGCAAAACAACGGCCCTCTGAGCTCAAAATCTCTGGACACTATAAACCTGTGACCCCTGGGCCACTGGCAAGCAGTCAGTGAAGCTCTTTGGAGGGCAGCAGAGTGGATTCCAAAGGTCAGGGTTCAAATCTGGATCACAGTCTCTCAGGGCCTCAGTTTCCTCATGGGCTCATTTCTAAGATCATTCCTGCTCAGACATGCCACCTAAGAAACAACCTGGATGGACCAAAGATGCAGACAGCATAGCTGTCTGTTCTGCCAAGAGATCTTATTTGTATTAATTTCCTTAGCAAACACCCACAATAATTGCCCTTTACAACTTCTGTGAAAGGATTAACAAAAATCCTTGATTAAAAAAACCAAATTAGCATCTATGAAAAAAGGATTCAGCCTCTATGTGTGTGTTGGGGGGTGGAGGAGTCAGTCCCTCGGGGCTATCCTCCCACAGATTGAAGAAAGAGGATTTTTTTTCATGTTGGGGTCCCAGGGGAGGCATCAAACAAAAGGAAAAAATAATAATATGCTGGCAGCTGCCCTGAAGAAGAGGCTCCCAACTAAACCCTCAGGGGCAGAAGCCTGGTTGAGCAAACCTCAACAGCTAAAAGAATCTCAGAGGTATGCTCAGCAAGCAAAGAGGGCTCCAGACACCTGGATCCAGCATGGGTACAAACCTGCAGCTGGCACAACCACTCAGGTTCCACTGACCAAACACCTCCCCAGTGCCAGGAGTGGAAAGCCTAGCACTCAGGCAACAAAGATGGATGCCCACAAAGCCTTGTGTCACCTGCAGAAACGCATTACCTTTGGGGGGGGGACAAAGAGGGGAAGGGGGGGCCTTCCAGGACGAGGTAGCCTCAAAGCTGGGCCTTTAAGGGTTCCCTCCTAGGGAGGAGGGGAGAGCCTGTGTGAAGACAAGGATGCACAAGGGCTATTCAGGGAACAGAGTAATCCAATGTAGCTGGAGCATAAGGTATACACGTAGGAAGGAAGAGTAAGCTTACAGGAGGAAGGCTGGGGCTCAGAAAATGGAGGCAGGTAGGACTTCAGTGGTCACCCAGCAGAAAGCTGTCACGTTAATGTTAACGGAACTTGATGCCCTGGGAGGGGAAAGGACTTAGGCAAGGTCACACAGCCAGTAAGTGGCAGAGATTCCAGACCACCTCCTCGGACTCCCCTGCCAGCACTAGAGCCAGAAGCCTGGGCCACCCCTGGGAGGCAGTGGCTCTCCACTGCCAATGTCTGAGCAGTGGAATGCCATGATCAGAGCTGTACATTAAGAGGAATCTGGCCACAATGTGATATGAGAACTGGAATGCTCCGGTAGCTATGGCCCTTTCTAGCTGTGGCTTCCCCATCCCGTCCCTGGCTGGCTGAGCTTTCAACAGAGGCAAACGTGCATCATTCCTGTTCATTTTTCCTCTGGAGAGTTCCAGCCCTTTGCTACTTTTTCTGACATCTGTTCACTTCCTCCCTCAGCTGGGCCTCCCAAATTTCTTTCCCCAGCTGAGGGATTGGGAGTGATGGTCTTCAGGTGGGATCCAGGCCTGCAGCTTACTCACATGTGCTTGCCTGGGTCACCTTCCCCCATCAAGGAGTCAACGGCTGACCTCCCGCTCCTTCAGCTCTCCCTCTCTGCACCTCAACGAGCGAAAGGGAAGGGCAATGAAGGCCTAACCCAGGATGGAGACGAAGGAACCAACAGTATTTACCATGGGAGAGGCAGCACAGGGAGTGGGAGGAGGCGAAAGGGCCTCCTGGGCTGGAGAATCAGAAAGCAAGCTGTCCTGTAGGTGTGGGCCACCGCTTCCCAGCTGCTCACCACCAGGGGCACAGGAGCAAATGGGAAAACTAGCTGGCTTCCCGGACCATTTCCGTGGCACAGGCGAAGGTTTGGAAAGGTGCAGCATTTAGATGCGTAATGGCCACCTGTTAACCAAGGCCAGAGGCCAGCCTCCACCCCAGCAAGGAACGACAAAGCTTGCCCCCCTCCTGCCAGGGCCAGAGGAAAGCCCCAGGCTCCCAGCCCCAGGCGAGGCAAAGGCCTAAGGGCAGCAGCCACTTTGCAGATAGATAAAGGCCACCCTCCTTCTCCGGGTCTTCCAGGTGCCGCCAGGACCCACCCTCCCAAGTGGGAGAGTCACCGGGATGGGAGCGAGTCCCGCATCCCGGTCAAGTCTTCCTCCAACAAGCAACTTGGGGACAGCCCCAGAGGGCCCGCCCTGCTGCACCCCCGGGGGGAGCCCAAAGGCTGAGGAATCCCCCGGGGGGCTACTTAGTGGGGAGGGGGGAGCTGCAGGGACAGGCCCTGAACAAAACCAATGGGCTTCCAAAGGCAAAAGCCAGCGCACAACGGGAGTGGGGGTGGGGGGTGGGTCAGAGGCAGAGCCACAGCTGCCCCCTCTTTACCAAAACCATCAGGCTGGGGAATCGAGGCACAAGTTGGGGGTGGGGCGCGGAGGACCCCCGAGGAGCGGGAAGACAGGCTGCAGTGGTGGGGGCCGCCCCAAATTGGGGCTGGGGTGCGAAAGCGGACGCCCCACTCCCCAGCAGTTCCTTCTTCCCCTCCTTGCGTCTCCCCCCTCCCCCCAGGGCCAGGCAGCGGCGGAAGCAGCGGGTAGGGACGCCCGGCGGGGAAACTGAGGTCTCCGACTCTCGGCCCACCCCACCTTCCAGCTCACCCGGTGAGGGACCCAGGGCCTCGAGCTGGGGAAGCGGCCGACGCTCGGGCCAGCCCTCCTTCTCTCTGTCCGTCCGTCCCGCGCGGGAGGCCGGGGACACAAAGCGGGGCGCGCGGGAGGGGGAGCAGCAGGAGGAGGAGGAGCCGGTGGAGGCAGCGCGAGGGGGTGGGGGTGGGGGTGGGGCCGGGCCCGCCCCGCCCGGGTCAGGGGGCGGGGATGCGCCCGAGGCCGCCCCGCCCCTGCCAATCGGCGCCCGCGGGCCCGCCCACCCGCCCCGAGGCTCACCTCGGGGGCACCTGGGCCTCGGGCGGCCCCTAGCCGGCCCGGCCCCCTGGGCTCATTTGCATAAGCAGCCCCACCCCCCGGGCTAGCACAAAGAGAGCGGGAGAGGCTGAAGCGCCCAGCGTCCCACAAAGCCTCCTTCCAAGAGGAGCCCCACGCAGGCCCCTGCATCCAGGGGGAGCATCTCCCCCTAGAGGCCCCTCCGGCCCGCCATGGGGGTCCCCCCAAGTAGCCCCGGACGGCGCTGGCCATCGGGGACGCCGAGAGGGAGAGGGAGAGGGAGGGGGGCGGGCGGCCCTCGGGCCTCCTACCTTCCGGTCTGTATTGGGCCACAATGGTGACCGACTGTCCTGCCCGCTTCAGGGCCGCTGCGGCCTGCTCATGGGTGGCATTTCTCAGGTTCACACCATTCACCTGCCCAGAAAGAGCAGCGATGAACCGACCTGCCCCCCCCCATCATGCCCTCTGGTCCCCGAGGTCAAGGAAGAGGAGGATGGTTGGTCCCCTGGAACTCTGAGGCTCTTTGGAAGCCATGGCCCAGCATCCTCCACCTCGCCTCCCCAGGGCAAAGGTGGCCCCCCACACACACACACACAGTGTTCAGATCCCCCTAACCAGAGGAAAACCCAACTAGTCTAGGGACGCGCCCCTACCTTGGTTCTGGGCCTCTCTCCGGGCCCCCCCCCGCCCCCCAATGATCAAGAAGCTACCTTCTCCAGGGCTTTCAGGCCAAGCTCCCATCCCCATCTCAGAGACATTCCTTCCTGGACAACACTCCCATCATTCCTCTGCCCACTTACGGAGAGAATCCGGTCTCCTCGGCGCAGCTCCCCACTCAGGTCAGCCGGGCCTCCAGCCAGGATGAAGGAGACAAAAATGCCCTCTCCATCTTCTCCACCTACAATGTTGAAGCCCAGGCCTGTGGAGCCCTTGTGCAAAACAATCTTCCGGGGCTCTCTGGTGGGAAGGAACATAGGGATCAGGGTAAGGTGGGCAAAAGCCCTGGCCCCGGGGTGGGGTGGGGGGCTTCAGGCGGCCTTCTGCAAGTGTACATCTGCACCCCCACAAAGCTGCTGGCCTTTTCCTAGTCCATCTCCCTCCAAATGCTGCTTGACCACTCCACTGAGACCCCCACACACACCCCAACCTCAGTGTCTTCGGGATCTCACTTCTCAGCACATTGATGTGCCCAGGAGGGGGGCGGGGGCGGGAAAGCGATAAGTTTTGGAAGCTGGGGTATTGTGGAAGGGAAGACGTACAGGAGCTTTTATATTAAGAGATGTTCTAATGAACTGAAACCCCTCCCAGCACCCTCCCCCAAGCAACTACACACTGGTCGGGGTAGAACCAGATGATTTCTAAGGTTCTCTCCAGCCTGTGACCTGAGCTCTATGCACATCAGAGCTGCCATGCCCCTGCTTTGGGTCAGCGTGTTTGTGTGTTTGTTTTAGGCAGGGAGCCAGAAAAGAAAGAAGTGTTTGAATGTCTCCAGGAGGAATTCCCTATCGAATGTGGGAAGGGGGCAAACCGAACAAACCCCAGAAACACTAATGGCTTTGGAAGGCCCTATGAAAAACGGCTGGGCAAGCCCAACTTTTCTCTGCCCATGGAGATCGCTGGGAAGCTCTAAGCAGTCAATCTCCCATTCCACCCAGAGACCAGTACTTGGTTGCTGGGAGGAGCTGAGGCTCTCCCTGCTCCTCCCCTGCCTCCAGCGCCCAAAAAGTCCAAGGATTGGAGGCTGGGGGCATTTAGACATCCTGAGTCCTAGGCCCTTGTTTGGCCGAGGAGGAAACTCGGGCCCCTGGACAGGGCCTCAGTGGGGGAGGGGAGGAGGGAAGGGAAGCTTCTTTGGGGAGTCTGGCGGTCAGTGGAGGCGTCCAGATCCCTCCTACCTGGAGTCCCCTTGGGGCCTCGGGGAAAGCACGGGCCAGGCCGGGGAGTGGTGGGGGGAAGGAAGGGGGGAGGGGCGGAGGCAGCGCCTGAGGCTGAGGCGCCCCCCCATGGGGCTCTCCGAGGGCACTCAGCTGGGCGAGCGGAGCAGGAGGCTCCCCTGACTTTCTGGCCAAGCCCCCTCCTCCTTCTCCTCCACTTCTTCTTCTTCTTCATCCTCCTCCTCCTCCCCAGGTGGCTGCTCGGCTGCTGCAGCTCCTCCTCGTCCCGTTGGATGTCCTCGTCCTCGTCTTCCTGGTCCTCCTCCTCCTCCTCCTCCTCCTCGTCCTCAGCATCCTGGTCGTACTGGTCCCCGAGCTGCTGCTTGCTGCCTTTGGCACTCTTCCTCCTCCTCATCGTTCTCGTGCTAGTCCTCTTCCTTCTCTTCCTCCTTCTCTTCCTCCTCCTCCTCGTCCTCATCCTTCCAGCCGGGCTGCCAAGGCCGGGCCGCCACCGAGAAGCTCCATACCGGCTCCCAGGCCCCCACGGCGCGGCTTCTTTGTCTAGCTCCTCCCTCGGTGGCATTGGGCCTCCACGCATGGCCCGGGCAAGAGCTGCTTCCACTAGGCCCCAAGCCGGGTCTGGGCCCCTGGGCCCGCCTCAGCAGGAGCTGCCTCTGGGCATGTGACTGGGCCCTTGCCCTGCCTCAGTGTGCCTCCGGTGGGAAAAGGTGCCTGGAACTGTCTCCGAGGGCATGGCCACCTTCTGGGTGGGAGGGGGGCCTTCCTGCCTCGAGGCTCCAGGCTCAATGCCTCCTCAGCCGGGAGATGGGGGAGGCAGAGGGCGCAAAGCTACCACAGAGCTCGAAGCTCCATCCACCACCTTGACATTGGGGAAATGGAGGCCCCGAGGGCCATCTTGACATTACCTGGAAGGGGGCCCTGAAATGAATGCGGAGCATGAGGCCCACCTGCCACCTCAGCATTCAGTGACGCCCCCCCTCCCACGAGTGCCGAAGGGTTCGAGGCCTCTGAGACCTAATCCTAACATTCAATGAATTTATTGATTTTGTGATTGCCCAGCAAACCCTGCCTTTAACCTTCTATAGGAGGGTGCTCTCCCCATGGCCAAGCTCCCCCCGCCCCCAATTCTGGCTGTGCACAGAAGGGCACCCTGCCAGCCACTTCACACTTTGTCCTTGAAGGGTGGGACAGAGAACCATCACGAAGGTCACTGGATCCTAGGGTTGTCTGGGCTCGAACTAGTTCAAGCCCTGATTTGGCAGCAGATGAAGCTAAAGCACACAAAACAGGAGACGCTTGCCCAAGGCCATACAGTTACCAAGGGGGAAGTAGGCCTTCCCCGCCAAATCTGACACTCTACTAAGAAAAAAAGAAAAGGGAGAGGGAAGGGGGTCAGGGAGAGAACAGAGAAAGAAGAGAGATGAACAAAAGGGGGGAAAGGGAGAGAGAAAAGGAGGGATAGAAGAGAGAACCATGAGACGGTCTAGGAGAGCATCCAGGAACCAGAGGGATGAAAGGGCAGACAAAGAAAGAGGAGGGATAGGACTACGGGAAAAGGAGGAACAGGGAGGAAGGGGAAGGGGGGAGGGGACAGGGGCCCACCTAAACTCTGTCTTCGATCTACAAACAAGCGGTTGCCCCCACTAGACTCTGGCATCCTAGGCTCTGCAGCACTCCCCACTCACCCAAGGGAGGATGGGTCCCTGAGGTTCTTACCTGGTGAAGTCCTCCTCACCCAACATGTGCCGAGGGATGGGAGAGTAGCGGGCTGGGGGAGCCTGTGAAGGAGCAGGATAGCTGACCTTGCTCTCCACAGCCCCTAGATAGCCCAGGCTGGAGTTATGGCTTATGTGGCTGTCAGCCAAGGCAGAGAAAGCTGGAGTAGGGGAAGGGAGAAAAGAGTCAAGGGCTGCAATCCTCTCCAGCAGCCTCCCTCAACCCTCAGCCTCAGGATTCTTCAGCTTTCTCCATCCCCCTACCCAAGGCCCAGGATCTTTTGAAGCTCTGACCTGCTGACCTCCTCAGATTGCAAATCAAAGAGAGGGAAATATGCTTTGCTATGGGGCTGAGGCCTAGCAGCTCGAGTCAAGGGCTGAAGGCCAGGTGGGTACGTACTGCTAGCGTAGTCAGGTGCTGCATACATGTCATTGAGGTGCACGCTGCCTGGCTTGGCCACCTTTAGATAGACCATGTCCGATGTGTTTTTCAGGGATGCCACAGCTTCCTCATGCCGTACGTCCTGCAGGTTGGTATTGTTCACCTGCGTGGGCAGAGGGAGGAAGGCTGGCACATTGGGGGGGGGCCTGGCCTCTGCAGGGTAGAGGGCCCAAGGAGGTGTGGCTCTTCATAGAGGTGAAGGGAGTATAATGGCAGCTATGAGTTGACTCTTCTCATTTTCAGGGAGCTGGTGAACGGGATGGATCAGCTCCCATGTGACTGGGCTGGAGAAGGAGTATTCCTGGTATCTAGCCATTGAGTATGGCTTCTGAAAGGCGGGACTTAAGCTTAGGAAGCAGGGACATTAGGGACTCCATGGGCTCTGAGGTTTCTCCTAACCCAAAATCTATTACGATCCTGTGACCAACTAAAAGTCTTGGCAGTGGACGGGTAAGCAGGGGGCCCTTAGACAATTGAGCCCCCCCAAACACCCTTGATGGAGTTCTTGGATAGGAAGACTCTCTCCACTGTACCAGATAATTCCCCCATTAAAACAATAGAGAGGCCAGCAATCACCACCCCTTCCCTCCCATGTCCTTGAGAAGAGGGGGCAGGGTCTCACCGCCAGCAGCCGGTCCCCAATCTGCAGTCGTCCATCCTTCTGGGCAGCACCTCCCTCAATGATTTTTGTGATGTAAATACTATTATCTCCAGGGATGTGCTGGTTCCCAATACCACCTGCAATGCTAAAGCCCAAGCCTGGAGCAAGAGAGCAAGGCCAGGAGACACAGCAAGTGGGGGAAGGGGGTGGGGTGGGGAGGGAGAGGAAGAGATTTTATTTCCAGCTGGGCAGCTACAGGCCGCCCATCCCCCTTGCCTGCATCCCCCATCAGAGCAGTAGGTGGTGAAACCTGAGTCTACTGGAGATGGGAGGTCAGGTGGAGGGAAAAGCCCTAACCCAGCCTAGTCCACAGGGGTCAACGCACCTTTGGGCCCCTTGAGCAAGTTGACCTCCACTACCGTCTCAGGCGGCGGCTGCCTCCTTCGTACCACCAGGCGCACGACAGGGCCGGCCTCCTTGAGGGCTTCCACAGCTCTGCTGTGGACAACCTCCGAGACATCCACCTCATTCACCCTCAACACGCAATCGTTCACCCTGCAGAGTGCCCCATGGAACCCTTTATCACTGGTCACCTCCTCACCTTCCCCACCTATAGAGAACTTTCTGCCCTACCACTCCACAAGCCTTAGGAGAGGTAAGCATCATTCTCCCGTTTATAGCTGAGGAAGGTAAAATTCAGAAGGGAAGCAATTTGTCCCAGGTCACACAGCTAAATTAAGAAGGAGAGCCAAAACATGGTTTTCTGATTCCCTATCCAGGGCTCTGCCCACTGCACCATGCTGCCTCCTATCTGGATGACTGTCAGTGCAGTCACTGAGGGACATGCTCCCTCCCCTCCTCCCTGCCTCCCTTGGCAGTGGGGGGTGGAGGAGGGATGGAGGGAGGGGGTGGGGGACCATCCCCAAACATCTCATAGCTCTGCTGACACCCATCCCCCCCTCCTCCCCAGCTCACCCTAGCCTCCCATCCATGGCAGCTGCCCCGCCTGGGATGATCTTGGTAATGAAGATGCCAGGGTCCTCAGGGATATGTGGGTTGTCAATTCCCCCTGCGATGCTGAAGCCCAGGCCTGAGTTCCCCTGTAGGGGTTAGGGAGAGAGAACCCAATCTGCTCAAGTAGGAAGTAAAGAAAAGCCTTCCTGAACTCTCCCTTCCCTCCTTCCTCATAGTCAGGAAGGTGAGGGGGGAGGTGTCAAATGGGCACTTCAGCTGCATGAGGGGCTTGGGATAGCCAGATATGCAGCAGACAGACATACATCCACATACACACTACACAAACATTTCTGCTCCCTGCCCTCAACCAGTGCACTGCATCTGGGGGGCTTCCAAGAGGGCAGATTGGTTCCATGGCCTTTAGAGAATGGTGTGAGATGGATTCCGGGGACAATCAGCCTGTTCCTCTCACCTGGAAGTGGGATTCCTGGCCCCAAGGCCGAGAAGCAAGAAGGCTCCTGGGTCCTCCTTGGGGGAGTTGGAGGAAGGAGATAGGGAGGGGAGGACTGGAAAGAGAGCTTTGTGCTGCTTCCAGGAGTCACCTTGGAGCTCTCCTCCAATGGCTCACGCTGTGGTACCATATCAGTTTCCCCCTTCTTTTCCCGGTGGACCTACTTCAGCCCTTTCAGCATGGACATGGCCTGAACCCCCTGGTGGGTCATGGCTGCTGCCCCTGCCTCTGCTCCCTGCCGGCAGACTTACCCGCTCCAACACAATCTCCTCATATTTGAACATCCCATCACTTCCATTTACCTGGGGGGAGACACAGACAGTTCCTCAAGTGCCTTCCTATTCTCCTATCCTCCCACCCACCCATCATCCTACCTTCCCAACCTCCCACCTCCCCTCCCCTCCCCAGAGCAGAAGAGCCTAAATCCACCCCAGGGAGGGCCTCTTCCTAAAGATGGGACTGCTGCCCTCAGAGGGTGGGGGTAGTCTCTGGAGAGCGCGCCAGCACGTGCTCGCATGTGTCCACCCCTGTCAGGGGCAGGACTGGTTTAGGAGGGCACTTGGCCAGAGCAGCATCCTCAGCTTGGAATGGAGAGGCACACTCACCGAAAGACTGGGTTCCAAGGTTTCTGCATTCACCAAGATGGGTGCAGGGCTGGCCTGAGGGCAGAGACAGAGCATGGGAGGAGAACATAATGAGCCCTCCTACCCTTGGCTTTCCCTTTGCCCTTTTTGCCCCAGCCAGTTGTCCCCTGACCCACCAAGGCTAGGCCCCATATCAGACACTGTTCCCCACCAGAACTATCCATGGTGTCCCCTCAGGAAACCAGCCCCCCAGCCTCACCCCTCTTCACTGAAGAGCAGGGATCCAGGCCCCTAGTCCAATCCTGCTCCGGCCCATTCCCCACCCCCTGGACTGATTTCTCTACAGCTCAGACACTTAGCATTGCTTCCTAGAAAGGGCAAGGGCAAAAGGGAAGATAGGACAGGGCTCACACTCCCACACAAGGGAGAAGCCACTGTTGGTAAGGAAGTTCAAGCATCTTTCAGGGGAGAATAGCCTAGGGAGCTGGTAGTGATGCCCCAAAGAACAAAACCCCAACTTGTCATCTGAGAAATGGCTAGACAGACAGAAACCATACAGAGCCATTTCAGAGCCACCACACAGAGAACGCCTCCTGGATAGACAGACAGTCGGCTCCCCACCCCCGCTGGTGCCAGCTCTCGCCCCCGTACCTCCTCCCAGCCTTTCTCTCCAGGTCCTAACAACTTCACACTTCTCATCATTGAAAGAAGCCCCAGTAGCCCCTGAGGCAGCGGGCTGGATAGTAGTGTGGTCACCAAGGAAATTGGAGGGGGTGATCGAGGGGAGAGGAGGGAGAGAGGGAGGCCTCACTGGGGAACCCTTATTTTACTCTGTTCTGCCTCAGTGGAGATTGAAAGGGGATCCGAGTGGGTTGCCACTGTGGGTCACCACTGTGAGCTCCCAGCTCTTCCCCAGCTCTTCACTTCAGCTGTAGAACTGTGTGGCTTCTCTATCCTCAACCTTTTAGCTTCCTAATACTGCCCACCATCAGGTCACAGGCTCATTTATCCAGAGAAAGAGAAACACACATAGACATGTACAGAGGCAGGTAGACACACATGTAGCCTGAGCACATATGTGCAAACATGCCCTCCCTGCCAAGTCTCTGGTCAGATGTGACAGGTTAACCTGCTACTGTCCATCCCCCCATTTCTCACTGCAGCTGAGCTTCAGGCTAAATGTGTGGCTGGGGGTGGCTGGGGAGGGGGGGATTCAAATCTACCCCTTCCCACAATCCCTGGCCTGAATGCTCAGAGGCAGGTCCAGCATCCTTCTCCAGCTCACGCCGCTTCCAGGCAGGGCATGGCATGGGCAGGAGGGGCTGAAGGGCAATGGAAGGGTTAAGTGAGGAGGATGAAGGGCCAAAGGTAGGAAGATAGGAGGCTGGAGGCTGGAGTAGCAAGGCTAGGGAACAAGACAGCTGGCCAGGCTGGCCAGGCTGGCCAGTTAGGCAGAAGCTCGCCTTCGTCTCTGAGTTCCCATCCCTCGTGGAGGACAGAGGGCCCCCAAGAATGAACAGCCATCAGGCTGGAGCTCAGGGAGCCATTAGCCAGCACCCCACCCCACCAGAGGTCCCCCTCCTCACTTCTTTCTGAGGTCTTTGGCCCAGGAGCTGTCAGCAGAGATGGACATCCACCCTCTTCCTCCCACCATGCATGGCATGCCAGGGCCCTGGTTCTGCCGGCCCAGACTCCATTTTGCTGCCTCACACACATGCTCCTTCCATTTTCTAAGCTGGCGGCTAGGCTGGGAGTAGAAACCGGGGTTGTGCCCAGCACCCAGAGAGCTGGCAAGCGGTATCAAGGCAGGGGTAGAGGGAAGCACAGTTCCAAACCATCTGGAAGCATCCCAGGGAGCGACAGTCCACCACACTGGGGCATCTTCCTAGCCCTCTGCCTCAGGCTAGGCACCCTGCCTACGGTGTGCCCAAAGAACAAGCTTGCCCCAATTGGCCCCCCACCATTGCCCTTGTCCTTCCCCCACCCCCGACTTCAGAGACTGAGCTGCTATTTGGAGACAAAGGAGACAGCAAGGAGGCCCACCGGAACATCTTGGACAATAGAATCTATCTATCTGGTCCAGGCAACAGGACATTACTACTGAGCAGTCTGTCCTCTGAGCCCCGGAGGGGTCACTTACCTCCTGTCCCTCCCCTGCCCATCAATCTGCAAAACAGTCAGACACCCCCCCCACCCCCCGCACACACAGCCACATGCTAGCAGACACATACGTTTAGATATAAGAGCTCATACAAACACATCATGCAGAGACACCCACACATCTACACACACCACACACCACACACACACACACACACACAAAGAGACCTGTGCAGAGATAGCTCATAGGCATCTAGATACAGAGACATGAACATACAGGCACATGGAAATCCATGTAATCCCCTTTCTCCTACACATACACATACATGATTTCACTCACATACACAGAAAAACCCACAATACTTCTCCCCTCAAGATACATCCCCCACACAATCCCCCCACATACATATACATAGAGGAAAAATCTAATGCCCCAAATCTGGGAAATATGCCCCCACAGTTATCACCCTCACACATGGGTCCCCTGATACCCTCCCCAAATGTACACACACACACACTCCTCCCCAGTTGCACCGATATTTTCTCTGAATCTTCAAAGCCTGGGCCCCAGTCCCCCTCACACTGCCATCTTCAGTACCCCAACCCCACAATTCCCTGAGCGCCCCTTCCAAAGCTCCCCTAGCCCCTGGTCCATACCTGTTCATACCAGTCGCGGTTAGTGCAGGTGCATTCGGGCCACCAGCCGGGGCCACTGCCATTGAGTTTGGGGGTGCTCTTGCCTGGGCCAGGTTTAGGGGTCACAGGCCCCACATCCCGGCCTGTGGGGATGAGTTTGGCTTTGGCCCGAGGGGTGGGGGCAGCCCCTGCCTGGGAGGGCAGGGTCTGGGAGCTATAGCCCCCATATCCCCCGCCGCCCCCATTGCCGCCCCCGCCTCCGTAGGGGTCAGGCACCTGCCAGTCCCCGTAGCCAGGTGGCTCGAGGCGCCTGAGAGCAGCCAGGCGAGTCGCCTCGTAGCACTCCGGGCACTCGCAGCAGTGGTGATGTTTGTGCATGGCACTTGCCCCCACTGCTCGGCTCCCCCAGCCTGCAGCCACTTCTACCCCACTGGGCTCCCGGGCACAATCACAGGGCTCCGGCCAGGCAGGAGGGGGCACCCGGGGGGGAGCTCGGGCTGAGCGGGGCCTGGGGCCGGGCGGACGTCCTGGGGCTTCTGCCCCAACGCTGCCCCGACCCCACGGCTCCCCCTCCGGCGCTGGCGGCTCCGTGTCGCCCCTGGCGGCTCCTGGGCCCAGGCCCAGAGGTGGCTAGGGGGAGGGACCGGCGGAAGGGAAGGCTGGCTACTGAGAGAACCGCGCCTGCTCTGGTCCCCAGGATGGAGCCGAGTGGAGTCAAGAGCATCTCTCCCTGGCTCCCAGAGCAGTTGCTCTCAGCCAATCAGCGCGCAGATCCAGGCAGAGGCAGCAGCAGCAGCAGGAATGCTAAACAGCAGCTCCTTAAAGGGACAGAGGCAGCCGCCCGCCCCGCCTTCATCCCCTGCCCAGGATCCCCCTCCCCTTTCGCTCTCCAGGCCCAGCTCCTGGAATCTCGGGAGGAAGCCCACTTGGAAGAAGGACCCGCCATTGAGGCCAATCCCAGAGCTACTCCGGTCCTCTGTGTCTAACCCTTTGTACCCGGCCCCCCACCATCGCCATCGGCAGTATCTTTGCCCACTGTTCTTAGATAGATAGATAGATAGATAGATAGATAGATAGATAGATAGAGCTGTGGGGAGAGGCTTGCCAACTCTAGAGCCTGCGGGGAGGGGGGGTGCGGGGAGGAGATGAAGACCCAGGCCACGAGGAGATGGGGGGAGGAGATGACCCAGGACACGAAGAGATGGGGGTGAATGAGAACCCAAGCCAGGAGGAGATGGGGGGGGTCCTCTAGCAGAGAACTGGCTTGTATGCTACTCCTTGCCCACCCAGCAAGTCCATCCCGTTTTCCTGCTGCCTCCCCTCTCTTCTCCCCACTGGTCAGCTCCCTGGGCTCCTTCAACCTTCCTTGGCTAGGGCTCGGCCCCCAACCCTACCTCTCTCCAACACCTCCAGACTCCTACCAGCTCCTTTCTTTTGCCCCCACGCTCCCTTGCTGTCTAGTGCATCTTCTAGGCCTCCCTGCCTCTCTACCACCAGCAATGGAGGGCTACAGGCCCTAGACTTGGGCCCAGCTGGGAAGGGAGCCTCAGAAGCCAGGCACCTAACACCCTCGTTTTGGCCAGGAAGCCTGGGGGGGCCTGACAGCAGCCACCCCTACAGACTCCCAGTTTGTCCTAGGCTTCCATCTTCTTCAGGGGGAAATGAGGGTTGTGGGGAAGATTCGAAAGCTGGTAGGTTGAGCTCCCCCAAGCTAGCAGGAGAGGGGTCTTGGACACAATCTAGGCAACAGATTGTAAGGTCACTAAGATTCCCAGAAGAGCAAATGCTGCCTGACAAGTGCGGGGGCTCAGTCCCAGCTCTTCCACCATCCCAAGATCCCCGAGAGAACAGAACTGAATGTGTGTGTGGGGGGGTGTCTTTGTGGGCAAAGCATGAATGGGAAAGCTAGCTAGGGATGGGGTGGGGGGCTGCTGTAGCTGAGGAACAAGAGTGAGTTATGGGGAGAATGCTGGGGAGTGAGGGTTGGGATGGGAGCTAAGGAATGAGAGGGGCCTAGGGCTAGAAGCTTGGGGGAAGGGCTCAAAGGAGGAGCTTTGGTTTGGACCTAGAGAGCTGGAAGCCCAAGGGAATATGAGCTTTCAGAGCTGACCTACAATGACCCTGACCCTGACCCTGACCCTGACCCCCAGCTCCCAGCTGTTTGGGGGAGGAAAGACCACAAAAGTTGGCCTGGCCCAAAACTATCTCCTCTACCCTACCCTTCTTCTGTACACTCAAACCAGGGAGAGGGAATTATTCAGAGGGGGGCTTGGAAGAGGCCCGAAGATGTCTCTACGATGGGAAACGACATCTTTGAGCAAGAAGCCTTAGGAGTGGCTGTGCACTTTGCTTTGGGGCCAGCAGGAGAACTGAGTCAGAGCCCAGGTTCCCTAGCAGCCCCATGAGGAAACGCTTGGCTTTGACCTCTGCATGGCTGCCCTGCAGAGTGGCTCACTGTGCTCCACAAGCACCCCCAGCTTTCCTGGATCCCAGAGCTCCTCTGCCTTCCTCCCCTCCCCCCTCCTAGAGGGAGAGAAGAGGTGCTGTCAGCATCTTGGAGAGTCTCTTAAAATGTAAGGAACAAACAGGTGAGCAGAAGGGGATCCTGCCCAATCTGAGACTTCCTCCCCAGTCACAGGGCTCAGTCTGGCCATTATGGAGAAGGGAACAAATGGGTCAACATCCTTCCCAGCCCCAAGAATGACAGGCCAGACTTCAAGCCACATTGAACCCTTCTTAGTGGTGGGACCCGGGGGCTTCCTAAAGGTCTTCGTGCTCTTCCCCGAGGCACTCCCTGGGGTTCTGGAGATTAGGATGCCCACCCCCCAGGCCCTCGAAGGGCTTGAAATTAGGCAGGAAACCTGGCCTCTAGTCCCGCCAGCGCCAACAATTTTCTGTGTGACTTTCTGCAAGTCCTTTCCCTGCTCTGGGCCTCACTTTCTCCCTCTCTAAAATGAAGCAGGCAGGGCCCTAAGAATCTGTAAGTCTGTCTCCACACCAACAAGTTACGCTCTACCCAGAATAAGGGTCCCAACCTCTGACTCCAGAGATAGACCCTCAGACAAGGTTAAGAGCAGCCCCACGTGCCTGCAGGTGGTCTGTTTGTTGCCAGGCAACTAGCAAGGCCTGAGCCAGAGCTGAAGGGGGGGGGAGTTCAGTGGGTTGTTACCACCCCCTCTCTCCCCAGACACATTGGAAGCCTAGGTCTCCAGCAGGGGAGGTGAGTGGGTGTTGATGCTGCCCCCATCTGCTGGCTCATGCCTGAAGTTCCGTGCTCAGCTCCAGCCCTTCAGATAGGGAGCTCCTAACTTCCATGAGGCCTACTTTTCATTTTCCTCAAACTTTAAAATTCTGACATTCTGGAGGTAGTGGCTGCTGGTGAAAAGATCGATGGGAATGAAGTTCTGATTGGAACCCGAGGGATGAGCTTTGGATCTGAGGGCAGCTCTGTGCCCGCCCCCATCCCTGCCTGCTGGGCATCCCTGAAAATGGGCTGCAGGTGGCCTGGAGACCTACCTACTGATACCCATCTGTTCCCTGGGGTACCTGCTGTAGCATCATGGAATTGGGGGCTATTTCTGGTTTTTCTGGCTTATCTGGGGTGGGAAGAGGAGAGGGGGCCAGATCTAAGAGAGGAAACACACCAGAAGCCTGGTGGGGAGAGACGAGCAGCTGCCTAGGGTTGGGGGGAGGGAGCAAAGGGTCCCAGGACTCCAGGCTCACCACCTGAGGCTCATCTCAGGCTCCTCCCACTTCTTCACTGTCCCAGTTGAGCCACTGGCCAAGCCCTGGCCATTCTCCCTCCTCCCACATGGGTACCACCTGCCCTCCTCAGCACCTTGTGTGTGGACCAGGGCTGGGGAACCTGTGGCCAGGAGGCCACACATGGCCCTCTAGGTCCTCAAGTGCAGCCCTTTGACTGAATCCAAACTTCACAGAACAAATCCCCTTCAGAAAAGGATTGGTTCTCCAAAACTTGGATGCAGTCAAAGGGCCACACCCACGGACCTAGAAGGTCACGTGTGGCCTCGAGGCCACAGGTTCCCCACCTCTGGCCTGGACTATGGCAATAGCCTCCTGGTTGGACTCACCGCTTTCAGCCCCTTTGCTCTTCCCAGCTGCCAAAATCATCTTCCTAAAGCCAGCTCTGTCCATGCCCATGGGAAGCTTCAGGGGCTCCCCATGTCGGCATTTAAAGCCCTTTATAATAGGGGCCTTATTGCACCCCCCACCCTTAACTCTGGGCTCCAGCCAAACTATCTCCTGCCTCTGGATCTTTGCCCAGGCTGTTCCCCTTGCTGGAATGCCCTTCCTCCTTCTCTCTGCCTCTGGGCATCTCTGACCTCTTGCAAACTTGAGTTCTGGTGCCCCCACCAATGGAAAGCATCTCCTAAATCCCTTAGCGCTCTTCTCTCTCTCACTAACTTATTTTGTATTTTCACGTTGCATCCCACGGTAGAATGTGGCTGCCTGGGAGGGCCTTTTTTTCCAACCTTATCTCTGCTGCATGTGTCTGTTGAATTGAACTGAGCCTTCCAGCAGCAGCCCAGTCATGTTCCCTCCATGTTAGCAGAGGAAGTCCAGCTAGGTTCCGTCTCAGGCTTCTTCCAGCTCTGATTCTGCTACTTCAGCATTTTCCCTCTTGGTCTCTAGTCCCAGGGTCACTACCCTTCTGTCCACAGCATCTCCCCATCAGGGACCTCTGGAGGAGGAAGCTCTCAGCTTTCTCTCTTCAAAGGCTCTGGGCCTAGGACATCCCTTAAACAGAACCATTCCCAGCCATGACCCTGGGGCCCTCACTCTGTTTGTTTGTTTTTTTATTTTGGTGAGGTAATTGGGGTTAAGTGACTTGCCCAGAGTCACACAGCTAAGTGAGTGTTATGTGTCTGAGGCCGCATTTGAACTCAGGTCCTCCTGACTCCAGGGCCAGTACTCTATCCACTGCGCCACCTAGCTGCCCCCACCGGGGCCGAAACTCTGGGTGAAACCCCAACTCCAGACATTCTAGGCTCATGGGTGTTGGGTGAGAAGCTGCACCCAGGGGATCCAGAAAGGGCTTCCCCTTTCCAGGCTTTAGGGTGGAGCATCTGTCCTGGCCACTGTCTGGGTCCACAATATCCCCAAAGGGCATGATATGAAGACATATCTGAGTTTCACGTGGCCCTGAAACTGAACTGGGTTGGAGCTCGGCAACTGCTCTATTAATAGCCCCCCAACCCAGCCCGCTAGCCCCAGCCCCGGATGCCAGGAGTTGTGAGTCAGCAGCTAAAAATAATGGAGCAGGAAAACTTGAACCCCAGCGAGCCATCCCTTCCTGGGGCTCAGGGCTAGGGACTGCAGGTCTGTAAGCCTAAGAGCTAGAAGGAGCTGAGGTGGGAGGGTGGGGGAGGAGCAGTTAATTTTGGGGATAGGGACTCAGATTTATGACTGGAGGGCTGGAAGCTGAGATGAAACTGACACAGATGTACGGAAAAGACTTGGTTAAAAAAACAATCCCAAATGAGCCCTCCCCCAGCCTGGGACCTGCCCAGTCCCTCCCATCAAACACGGATTCATCCTCCCATCATCTGCACCCAGAGCCTATGCCCATTCTCTCTGGCCACAGGACAGGCTGCTCTTCTGTAGGGAGTTGAAACATTCCCTTCCTTCCCTCCGTATCGAATTTATTTATGTGAGGGAGAGAGGGAGGGAGGGAGGGAGGAGAGAGGAAAAGAGGAGGGATTGTAGAAGAGCTCAGAGCCTCTTGAGCAAATTCAAACTCGCCCCTGCCAATCAAGAGGCAGCTTGTGCTGTAATCCCCACATCCTGTTGCCGTGGACACACAGAGATGCCCTCCATTGAAGATACAGCCCCATGGGTACCCGTGCTTCAGATGCAACCAGTTTGCATCTCAACCCGGGCAGAGGAGGACCCAGGAGCAGAATCTAAGTGCCCTGGCTCCCTTTCATCCAGTTCCCCCACTCCCATGCTGTGTGTGTGGTGTGTGGGGTGTGGGGGGGGGGCTCTCCCCATCCCAGCTAAGCCTGACATAGGAGATATTGACTTAGTAAAGGCAAATGAAGCCAGCCCAGTCAGAGGAGGTCTGATAGGGTTCCCCCTCCCTCAACTCTCTGGCTCCCTATCCACAGCCCAGTGAAAACCTGTTCTGCTCCTCTTGCCTGAGTAGTCTGGGAGAGGCTGGGTGAAATTTAAAAATGGGGGATTTGGAGGTAGAGGACTTGGGCTGGAATACCCTCTTCAGAGCCTCAGTTTTTCCGTCTACAAAGAGGAGTTTGGACTAGGTGGTCTCTATAACAGATGGGGAAACTGAAGCCCCAAGGCAGGGATGGAGAACCTGCAGCCTTTTGACTGAGTCCAAGTTTTGGAGAACAAATCCTTTTATGAAGGCGATTTGTTCTGTGAAGTTTGGATTTAGTCAAAGGGCTGCACTTGAGGACCTAGAGGGCCACATGTGCCCTTGAGGCTGTAGGTTCCCCACCCCTGCCCCAAGGGGGTTATGTGACTTGGCCAAGGTCTCACAGAGTATCAGAGTTGAGATTTGGACCCAAGTCCTCTGACTCCAAAACCAGTGTCCTGTCTGATGAGAAATCACTTCCTCTCTGAGCCTCAGTTATAACAGGAGAAGGTTGGACTCAGGTCTCTCATGTCCTTAGCTCTGCCGCCGATATTGTCTGAGCCCTTGCTGGCGCTTTGTGAGAGGTCAGGAGTGGCATGATAGGGGTGGGGGAGGGGCCTCCAGGTCCCGGAGCCAGGACTCCTCAAGGTGAGCGCCCAGGCAATGCCCTGTTCTCTTGGTGAGAGAGGCAAGAAGCAGACCGCGGCTGATGAGCAGCCAGAGCTGTCAGGTCCTTGGGAAGGGCGGAGCTGTGAGCGCTAGGTGGTGCTATTATACAGCTAGCTAAGGGAGGCGGCGCGACTCGATGCGACTCAACGCGACAATGATGGCCCCAGCCCAGGTCCCTGATCCTTGTCCCCACCCCCGGAGCCCTGAAGACAAACGACACCATGTGGGGGATTCGATTCATTGAATGACAGAAAGAGTGGGCAGAAAGAGCCAGATGCAGGCCAGTTCTCCAGGAGGGGAGACATGAGGAGATCTCCTCCAGGGGTTCTCCTGGCCTCCATACACTGCCTCATACTGCCGGACCTTCCCACTTCCCCGCTGCCAGCGGGTATCGCCCCCTTCTCATGTGGGAGGGCAGGCAGATGTACCTCCCGGACCAGCCTGGGCCCGATCCTCACTCACCACTTGACATCACTTGGTGCCCAGGGATTCCCTGTGGTATCCAACTAACCATTCTCACCATCCCCCCCCACCCCGCCCACCACTCTCCACCCCATCCACCAGAAGCAACAGTCCGGCGGCGTCATCTTGGGGTCAGTGGCTGGGGGCCAGCAAAGGCAGGCAAGCCTCAGGCTACAGAGGGGTTGGGGGTGAAGTGGCATGACACTCATTCCAGCATGATGGCGTTGATCTTGGTCAGCAGCACAGCGGTCTCTGAAACTGGAGGAACACACTGGTCATGAGAATGGATGTTGCAGGGTCGGGGAGGCAGGGGCAACAGGGAGGCCAAGGAGCAAAGGCCCAACAAATGAGTAATGCTGTAGCTCTTACCAGGTTTCTCTCTCTCTCTGGCCCATTTCCTTTAGGGAGGGAAGGATTGCACTGTCAGTTCAGGTAGCTTGAGCTCCCCCTTCCCTCAAACACTCCCAGTTTGGGGGCTATCCAATAACGTGGCCAAGGGGGACTCCAAGCCCTGGTGGCATCTAGTGCCATGACACCACCAGGGGCTGAGAGGTGCAGAGGGGGCACACTCACCCCTGCAGGAAGAAGATCCAGAGAAGCAGCAGGGCAGACACACAGTCTGAGACAATCCAGATCATTAGGTAGGTTGGAGGGGGCTGTGGAGACATTTCTGAGTGAGCCCTCCCCTGACAGATGCCTTGTGTGAGGGGGCATGAGGTAAGGATTAAGGGAAGGCATGGATGGCAGTGGAGGGGGAAGGTAGAGAGGGAGGGGAAGAGGGAAGCCAAGAGTCCTTACGATGAGCCAGACAGGATGGGGCAGCTGCTGCAGCAGCTGGCAGGCATTGGTAGTGACCGAGGCAGCCCCAGCACACCAGAGCAGGGAGAAGAGCCAGGACTTGTTCACTACAAATAGGTTCACAGAGATGTTGTTGCGTTGCAGGAGCCTGTGGGTGATGGACAAAGGCATGGCTCCTGGGCCACAGCCTCCACGGGGGGAGCCTCATGCTCATCCCTTAACCTCTCTGCTGCTTGGTGCCTGCTGACCAGCCACCCCTCACAGCAGAAGTCCCTGCTCCTGAATACCCTCTGTGGCTTCCCAGCACTACCATTCATTCCCTCAAGCCCTTAGACTCGAAAGCTCAGTCGTCCTTCACTCCCAACATTCAGTTGCCAACTCCCACCAAATTTTCCCCTATGACATCTCTTCTGTCTTCTCCTTTTTGCTCCCACCTTAGTCTGGGACATCATTAGCTCTCACCAAAGCGTTGGACTCCCTGCCTCTTTAAGCCAAGGTGCCACATTCATCTTCTTACAGCTCAGCTCTGATCACACCCTGTCATCTGCTCTCCATCAACAATCTGCTCACACACCTACCTCACAGATCCCTTACAAAAACCCTATTATGTGTAGGGCATTCTGAAGTCCAGAGGGGGGTGGGATGGGGATGGGGTACCAGCCTGTACGCTTATATGTCAGTCCAGGGTGATTTGAAGGACAGAGCACTGACAACTAGAGAGAGTCAGGATGGGCTTTCTGCAAGAGGTGGCACAGAGGATGAGCCCTGAAGGAAGCCAAGGATTCTGAGAGGTAGAGCTGAGGAGTGAGGGCATTCCAGGCATGGCGCACAATCTGTGCAAAAGTGTGGGGGCAGATGAATGACAACGGGTGTAAAAGCTAGAGTTTGCAGAGAGGAGCAACATGAATTGTGATGGCAGAGGATGGGGGTAGCCAGATTGGGGAGGGCTTTTGAGGCCAGGCTGAGGAATTAGCCATGCATCCTGCCATCTACTAGTGGATCCTATAGGCAATGGGGGGTCACCTTAACAAGACTGGCCAGCTTGGAAGGATGGATTGGAGAGAGAAAAGGCTGGAAGCCCGAGAATCTTGCACTAGTCCACGGGATGAATGAGGAAGGTGGCGAGGGTGGGGGGTGTTAAGAGAAGCTGACAAACAGGGGATGTTGTGGAGGAAGAACTGATGGGATTTGGCAAATAACTGGAGAGGGGGATGACAGAGAGGAAAGAATTCCAGGTTTTGAGCCTGAGTGACTGGAAATGGGGAGGTGGCAGGGGAAGAAGATCTTGAGTCCAGGCTGAAGACATGAAGTTGGAAATGGTCAGCAGGAAGTTGTGGATTGAGGACTGGAGAAATCTAAGAGTCATCTGTGTAGGGACAATACATAATTAAACCCATGGGAAATGATGAGATTGCCAAAGGATGGTGGAGAGAGAGGGTCACAGGCACCATCCAGCAGACAAGAGGACTGAAGAGAGCCTAGGGGGAGAGAATAGCTAGGAGGAGGAGGTGCTACAAGGAGAGGACAGGGAAGCCATTGGATTTCGCTTCAGGGTGGAGGGAATCAGAAGCCAGACTGAAAATGTCTGGAAGTGTATTGTAAGGAAGTAGAGGCAAAGAGTCCAGACAACTCTATCCCAGAGTTCAGCTGTGAAAGGGAAGAGAGATGGAGGAGGAGAGCTTGAGGGGAAGGCACAGCCAGTGAGTGTGCGCTGTTAGACAGTGGGCAAGGAAGCCATGGATAGGAAGTGATGGAAGACTAGAGGATAGTATCAGACATAAGTGAAATGTTGGCCTTGATTTCTTCTGTTTGCCTCAATTTCTTCATCTGTAAAATGAGCCGGAGAAGGAAATGGCAAACCACTCCAGTATTGGGGGGGGGGAACAGCTATTTTCCAGCTGGCATAAGCCCAGCTCCAGAGACAGGAACATCCAAGTTAGGGACAGCTCTTCCTATGAGATAGTGCAGTACAGTGCAAAGAGCAGGAGACCTGGGTTCAAATCCTGCCTCTGCCACTAACTACCTCTATGACCTTAGGCAAGTCACTTCTGCCTGGGTCTGTTTCTTTCTCTGTAAAATGAGGCTGTTGGATTAGATTGGGGTGGGGAACCTGCGGCCTCGAGGCCACATGTGGCCCTCCAGGTCCTCAAGTGCAGCCCTTTCACCGAATCTAAACTTGACAGAACAAATCCCCTTCATAAAAGGATTTGTGCTGTAAAACTTGGACTCAGTCAAAAGGCTGCACCCGAGGAGCCAGAGGGCTATGTGTGACCTCAAGGTCACAGGTTCCTGACCCCTAGACGAGATGAAGGCATGGGATGGGGCCATATTTCTCTTTGACAGTGTCTAACAAAGGTCTGTCACTCTAGAAATTATATGTTAATGAATGGGGATGGCAGAGATGTGGCTGGCCAGCCTCAGTTGCTGTGCTCTGCCCCTCTTCCCCAATCCTAGACTCTTGGCCCCAGAAGGGAAGTCTTGCAGGCACCCATCCCTAGCCTGCTCTGAATGGCATCTTCTCCCATCTACTTAAGGCTCCTTCTTTCCTCATGCTCACTTGATGTCTGTCAGCGGTAGGGCCTGGTAAGGCAAGTTGAGGAGCTGGGGCCTCTCAGTCCTGTTTTCCCTTTGATAGCCGTACACCTGAGGAAGCTTGGGGGCCCGGAGCTGGACCTCAGCACGGCCTTCATCTGGCAGCCACAGTACCTGGAGTTTGGTGAAGCTTTCAGGGGATGGGGCTATCATTCTGACATCCCAGGGCAGGGGACAGAGACCGTGGGGGTGTCGCCATGGCTGAGGGCATCAGAACAGAAAGGGACCCACTGGGGCAGGAGGCAGGGATCCCCCATGTGATCCCATCCACGGGGTCAGGGGGATGAGATCCCAGATAGATCACCATGGCCTGGGGCACCCCGGCGCTCAGCACAGCATCCAGGGTGCAGCTGACGAAGGTGTGATGATAAGTGTGGTTTGGGGGGGGTCGGCGCAGATCAAACATGACAGACAAATTGAGGTTAGCGGCCTCCTCCAGGAGCTCCCTTAGCGATGGCACCGTCTGGTTCTTGGCTTCCTGCTGCTCAGTGCCTGACAGCTTCCTGGCTCCCTGGAATGGTGGTCTCTGGAGTGGGGGTGGGGCACATAGTTCAGTCACTGAATTTTAGAAAGCCAATCCTCATTTTACACATTGGAAAACTGAGGCCCAGGAGGAAAATGACTTGCTCTAACTTATTAGCCCATCTGAGACTGAGCCTCGGGCCTCCTTGAGTCCCCTGGGCTAAGCTGCCTGAGCAGGGGCCACTTCCAGCTGAAGCTGGCAGGGCCTCCCCCAGAGGGCACCCCCTTACCTCCAGGAACCAGGTTCCTGCATTTAACTGTTGCAATTCGGCCCACGAAAAGTCACTGCTGTGTCCTGCAGCTCGGGTGGGGAACACAGAAGCCACATTTGTTGTCCTATCCAGACGTTCATCATGCATGAGGAAGGGGACTCCGTCGGAGCTGGGGGCATAGGATGTATTGGAGGAGGGCCAGTCTCCTCCCTTCCCCACCCCATCATCTCAAGGTCGTCCTCGGCCCCCCCCGCCACGACCTCCCTCACCTGACCATCACATCTGTCTCAAACACAGAAGCCCCACACTCGGCAGTCTTCCGGAGGGACATCAGTGTGTTCTCAGGGGCCAGCTGGGAAGAAAAGTTGGTGTATTTGTATTTGCATGTATGTGCACATGTGTATGTGAGGAGGGAAGAGGGAAAGGTGCCCCACCCTTCATGGCAAAGGAGAGGGGGAGGCGTGGGGGGTAGCAGCCTTCCCTCCCTACTCTCCCTTTCACCATGGTGCAAACTCACCATGGGAGCCCCTCTGTGCCCCACTAGCCTGGGCTTGGGGGGGAGATGACTATACTCCATTAGGCACGGTGATGAGATGCCCAGGGGTGCCAGGTAGATAGCCAGGGCTGCACCAATGAACAGGAGTAGTAACAGCACCTTGGGACCTGTGGGGAGAGGACAGAGTGAGATGAAATATGGTGAGGTGGCCAGGGGTGAGGGCTCATGGGAAGATGGGAAGGCAGGGGCTGGTACCTCTTCTCTGAGACCTGTAGAAGGCATCAGCCACTGGCCAGGCCAGGAGGGTGAGTGCAACCGCTGCTCCAATATGCAGAAATGGGGCTGTGGCCTGGAGACAGGAGGGGGTGGGTGAGCAGTGGCACCCTCCTTGGGACCCCCAATCTCCCAGGCTCCTTTCTATCCCTCCTATGGTTTTAGGGAGCCCAAGGCAGTCCCTTCTGGGCACTTCCCAGGGAGACCGGCTGCCCCGTGTAATGGGGGCCAAGAGGTGGTCTGACTAATGCTCACTTGCAATGACAAACGCAGACTTCTCCATTCCTCCTGCCACTGGATTTCCAGCCCCACAAGGGTGGCAGCCAGGAGCAGCACAGTCAGTGACAGCAGCCCCTGAGGACACAAGCAAGCTGCCACCCATCCATGGGGGAGGCATGCCCCTCCCTTGGCCCTCTCAGCCTCTGGCACCCCCAGCCTGTCCCTGTATACTTACTTTGTGAAGCCAGTGCAAGTGCAGAGGCTGCGCACACAGATGCAGGAGCAGGGCCAGGAACTGGGTGGCGGAAGAGGGGGAAGGAGCAGTGAGCAGATAGGAGAGCCCCCTGGGGGGCCTTGGTCTTCAAGCCCCTTCCCCTCTTTGGGACTCACGGTAAAATGAGAGGGGTTGGGCTAGGGGCTCTCTCACTGTGAGTGCAGTGACCTGTGAAAGAATGGGGGAGCCCCCGGGGCACGGACCGGACCAGGTGAGCCCAGACCTACCAGCAGCAGGGTGGAATATGTAACCAGCACAGAGACGGCAGGCAGCAGAACCAGGGACCAATCCAGCCAGTGTCCCCAGCGTCGAAACAAGAACCTGGGACGGGAAGAGACAAGGAGGTTTCCAGATAGGGGCAGGGCCTGGCCTTGGGTCCCTTCGAAGGGCAGGGGGAGGGAGGGAGGAAAGAGGTCTTTCAGGGGGAACGTGAAGGGCTTGGGACCAGAGGTATTGGGTGAATTGGGGTTGAGGCTGGCTTCTAAAAGGGCTGGGCTGGGCTGAGGGGGAAGAGGGTGAGGATGGCAGAAGAAATTGGAACTCTAAGTTCATTGTGTGTGTGTGTGTGTGTGTGTGTGTGTGTGTGTGTGTGTGTGTGTGTGTATGGGGTGTGTATGGTGTGTGTGTGTGTGTGTGTGCACTAGCGTGGATGCATGCATATTCACGCCTGCAGTTTGGGGAGTAGGGGTCAGGTCCATGACACACTCATTGAAATTGTGTAGATCATTGAGCAGAATAAGGCCGATGTACAAGCAGCCCAGTGAGAGGAGGAAGGCAGCCGCCAGGAGACCAAACCAGAGCCAGTCACACTGTAAAGGGGCAGGAGAAGGGCGCTCAGTCACCGAGCCCAAGGAGGGGCTCCCAGACATAGGCGGGGAGACACACCTTTTCTAAAGGTGACTGCACACGTTGTTCCATTGGCCCTGGGCACAGGCGTTTGTTGGGGGCAGCCCGGCCCTGCCCCCCCAGTGATTTTCTGGCATTGCCCACCCACAGCCACAGCCACAGCCACATTCCCCTCTAGGCCACCTTGCTAGTCGGCATCTTCTCCTTGGAATGTTTCCTCCAGTAACAGCTATACAGGCTGAAGAGGCAGCGGGCCCAGCCAGGGCAGCAGCTAGGGGATTCTGCCATTTCGAAGGCCTGAATAGGTCCTAAGGGAGGGGACATAATCTCTCAGGGCTGTGTGCAATTGGCCTGCCTCCTAGTCTCAAGATATGAGCAGCCTGAGGCAACACCTGGGGCTTTGGTGCTGGGAGGGGCTACCATCCGCGTGCCCAAGGCTTAGCAAGATGGGGCTAGTGTGGCTGTGCCTGAGTCAGGGTGCTGGGCAGAGGAATGTCCAGGTAGCCTCTACCAAAGAGACCGACACAAGGGACAGGCAGGGAACCCAAGTATTGTGTGGCATCTCCTCCAGCCTCCTGGGGGTGGACAGCTGGGTCTGGGGTGAGCTTTGATGCTGATGTGGGCAGGGCACCTCACCTTAGCAAGTTGAGGCAAGCTTGGCCGGGGATGAGACAGGTTCCAAATGGGACTCTCCCCTCCACTGAAGCCTTTACAATCCTTGGCCCAGACCAAAACAAGTCCACTTCAGGGGACGGACCTGTAACTAAGAAAGGTAGTGCTCCACCTAGCCCAGAGCCAGGATTAAACAGCCCAGCCCTGCCCTGCAGCCTCTAAACCCTTCCCTATCCTCCACTCCCTCCAGGAATGGCTGCAGCCCGGTCCTCATGCGGCAGCCTGGTTCCTGAGTCAGCCCCGGCATAGAGAGGTGCCCTCAGCACCTGCAGAAGCTGCCCTGGGAGCCTGGTGGGTCCGGAAGCCCTGCCAAGGCCAGTCCTGAAGCAGCTTCCCTGACCCTCCCTTCTCTCCTCCGCGGCCCCCCCCCTTCTAGTTGTCTTTGGTCGGTGGGTCGAAGTGCACTGAACATCGGGCAGGGTGTGTTTGGGGTGGTGGTGGTAGTGGGAGGGCTCCAATTTGGGGCTGATACTTCTGCCTTCCTTCCGGACCTCCAAGCCTGGGGTGGGGGGCACTAATATGAAAGACTCCAGCCTGGGCTGGGGGCGGGGTTGCTGTCTTCCGGGAGTCAATCCGAGTGTATGCACGCCCCAGCGGGCTAGGTGGGCTTGGGTTCGGGTCCCCAGTCTGTGAGAGGACAGTGTGGTCCCTGAAAAGTGCTCCCGGACCCTACCATTCGTTCTGACCCTGTGAGCTCCCCTAGGAGAGGAGAGCTTCCCACCTTGGGGCTTTCGGCTGCCCCACACTCTCCGCTCTATGGGCGCCCTCCCGGTGGCCCCAGCCTGGAACTCTGCCGGCCAGCGTCCCCCTTCTCCCCGCCCCGAGACCCCAGACCTCCTGTGACCCCATTCCTCCCTCAGCATCCCCCGCCCCCCTCCAGGTGTCCCCGGCAAAGCCCCAGATAGCTGCCCCTAGCCCACAAGAAGCTGCTCTGTCCCGGAGCCGGCGCTGGGCTGAGAGCTTGCTTGGGCGCGAGCCAGTGAGTCTCCCTTTCTTGTCCCTTCACTGTCCCGGAGCCCCCCAGCCATCCCCAGCCCAGGCCACCAGCCTCACACCTGATTTTGGTACAGCTGCCGGTCCGCGGGGGCTGCTCTTCTCGGGGGCGCGCGAGCATACACACACACACACACACACACACACACACACACACACACACACTCACTCACTCACTCACTCACACAGGCGCTCCCACGTTCCTTGCTCTTCAGTCAGGGTGGGTCTGCCTCCCGCGGCAGCCGCCGCCGCCTCCTCCTCCTCAGCTCCCCTAAGTTACAGGTAGCTACGCTATTGCCGCCTCCAGGCTGCTGGGCAGGTCCTGGCCTAGGACCAGCGGCCACTCAGCCCGCATGCACCGAACCCCCGGGGAAGGAGCAAGGCCGGATGAGGCGGCAGCGAGAGGGAAGGAGGCAGCAGGGGCGATGGAGCGGGGAGATCCGCCTGCCAGCCCAGCCGCTGTCCTATCCGGACGGTCAGTGAGGCTCAGAGCTGGCTGAGGAATTCTTTTGTGCTGCTGCCCCCCCCCTTCCTCCTCCCGCCCAGTCCCGGGGCTTTGTCCTGGCTCCAGGAGACCAGGGCTTGCTGAGAAGGGGGGCTGGCGGGAAGCTGGGGGAGGTGGCCACGGCTTTGGCAACTTCGCAGTGAAAGGAGGGGCCCAGGGTCAGAAGTGGGGGGCGGGGTGGTGAGGAAGGCCAGGGGGTGACAGTTGAGGGGCTTGGCAGCCTGGAATCCCCCATGTAAAAAATGAGGGGAGCCTGGACGTTCTTCAGCTCCCACTCCCCCTCCTCCAGGATCTCAGCCTCTATGGACATGCCAGCACAGAACTGACTGTTGAGCTCTTCCACCCGGGCCATTTCCAATAGTGGGTCCAGGCTTAGACTTCCCGGGATCGCTCCCCAGTTCCAACCTGCTAGTGTACAGTTGCTCATGAGGCCTGTATCCTCTCCTGCTCCCACAGAAAAAACCAGCCAATTCCAAGAGGCTTGGAAAGCTGGTGAAGGCAGGATGGGTTTCTGGGGGATTTTCTGAAAGTGCCCGGTGGGCAGGTGAACACTGCTGCTCCGAGGTGTTGAACACCCTGCTCCAACTGAGGCAGAAGCTCCGGGAAGAAGGCATAGCTTCTCTGGGAACAAGAAGGTTCACGGCCTCCATCTACCCCAGCGGCACTGGGAGCTGAGAGAAGGAACCCTGCCTGGTGCCAGAGGCCCAGCCCCCCCTCCCGCTCCTATTGTGTCCCGAGAGGCCTAGGCTGCCAGCTCAGGAGGCTCCCCTCTTTCCTTCCACATTAAAATGCAGAGCATCTGACTGCTTACTGGCAGGGGCTGGCCCGCACAGTCCCCTAGGCTTACCCTTAGGCCTCATTGGAGTTGGGCCCTCTGTCCATCACCCCCTTAGCTTTGAAGGGAGGAAGCTGGGTCTAGCCAAGTGCCCTTAGCCTGGGTTAGGACTGAGCGCCTTCTTTCAAAGTACAGGAGGTAGGGCAGCTAAGTGGAGTAGTGGATAGAGCTCTGGCCTTGGAGTCAGGAGGACCTGAGTTCAAATCCAGCCTCAGACACATAACACTCACTAGCTGTGTGACCCTGGGCAAGTCGCTTAACCCCAATTGCCTCACAAAAAAAAAAAAAGAAAAAAAAAAGCAAAGTACAGGAGGTGGAAGAAAGCCCTTGAGAAGGGGGAAGCGCCTCCACTACAGGGCTTGGGAAGCTGCCCCTTACCTTAGAGCATGAACTGGAGCCAGGAGCCTGGAGAGTAATTCCCAGGACAGTCCTTTTAGCTTTGGCTTTTCCCTGCCTGTATGTCAGTTTGGAGGGGAGGGTTTGTTTGGAAAGGCAAGAGAAGGGAAACCTAGGCCCTGCCCCTTCCCTCCTACAATGTCAGTTTCTAAGCCAGGCCTGACTGGGGCTGCAGGTACCTCTGCCTTCAGAGGGCCTCCTTTTTCTCCTCTCTGGTGGGAATATAGCAAGAGAAGTGAGGGTTGCTGGTCATGGCAAGGAGCTGGGTACCTCCCCTTCCTCATCTTTAATTAATAGGGTCACATAAGTGAAGAGCTAAGGGATCACAGTTTCAGAGTTGGAAGGGGAGGAGGGACCTGAGCTCATCTAAAGCCAACTTCTTGTTTTATAGACAAGGCAACTGAGACCCACGGTCCCACGAGTGGCAAGTAGCAGTCGGGATTCCAAAGGTTTGCTTACTTCATTCTTGCTCCCATCCCATCTGGTCTGCTCACACCCATTAGCCCCTCCCATTTCCCCCACTCTCTCACTTAGCTGAAATCTTCCTCCATAGACTGGCTGCACATACTCTCCCATGTCTTCTCCAGTCCTTAAAAAGCTCTCCCATGGTCCGAGCATCTCTGTTAGCTATGGGCCTACAGCTCTCCTTCCCTTCATAGCTGAACTTGAGAAAGCCATCAGGGCAACCAGTTCCTCTCCCTTCACCCTGCAGTCTGGCTTCCAACCTCACCACTCAACAAAATTGCTTTCTCCAAAGTTACCAAGTGCCAAATCAAACGGCCTTTCCTCAGACCTCGTCCTCGATGTCTCTGAAGTCACTGACATCGCCGACCACCCTCTTCTCCTGGATCGCGCTTCCCACCTGCTGGACTATATCCTGGGCCCTCTTCCCTTTTTGCTCTATATTATCTCCTATGGTTTGAATTGTCTTCTCTATGCAGACACGTTCTAGGCCCCGACTTCTCTCCTGAGCTCATCTCCCATCACCAATTGCCTTTTGGACATCTCAAAAACTGAACATATCCCAAACGAGAACTCATGCTCTTTTCCCTCAAACTCTCCCTTCTAACTTCCTTCTTACTGTCCGGGGAGCTAGCCCCACCCTCTGAGTCAGCCAATCCTTATTGGTTCTGGATCATTACAATTGTCATCTAGTTGGTCTCCCACCTTCGGCAAGAGGCCTTTCCTGGTTCCTCCTTCCTCTTAGCTCTCTCCTTCTGAGATTACATTCCATTTACATATATCTTGTATGTACAACTTTTTGCACATTGTCTCTCCCAATAGAATGGGAGCTCTTTGGGGGCTGGGACTGTACCCCCAGTGCTTAGCACACAGGGCCTGGTATATTGTAAGCGCTTAATAAATGCCTGACTGATGTCAGTCATGACTCTTGCCACGACCTCATCATCCCTTCCCCACCAGCAGATTTTTGTCGGGGAGTCCAGATTGGTGGAGGAAGTAGCCTTACTTCCCCCGGAGAGGCGATAGAGAACCGTCCTTAGAGCCATGAGGACTAGAGTTCAGGTCCCATCTCTGACACATTCTGGCTATGGCCCCCTCTGTGCCCTAGGCAAGACTCACAGCTGCATTACAAGGTAGAGCGCTCCATTGGGAATGCTCTGCATTAATGAAATCACAGTCCCTACGTCCTTAGTTCCCCTCGGAAGCTGGTTGGAGGAGACTAACCTTTGGGGTAGAAGGAAGATATGGGATTAATGGTCATATCACAGATTATACATGTGAAGTCATGTAAAACATATTTCCATATTAGCCATGTTGCAAAAGAAAACAGAGACAAAAAATAAAAAAAATTAAAAAAAAATATGCTTCAATCTACATTAAGAATTCATCAGTTCTCTCTCTGGAGGTGTAGAGCATTTTTCATTATCGGTCTTTTGGAACTGTCTTGATCAGAGTAGCTAAATCTTTATTATTGTACAATACTGCTGTTACCGTGTACAATGTTCTCCTGGTTCTCCTCACTTCCCTTTGTATCAGTTCAGCTCACGTAAGTCTTCCCAGGTTTTTCTGAAACCCTCCTGTTCATCATTTCTTACAGCACAATCCGACACCATGGCTTTCCCTAAAATTTGGTTGCCTGGTGAAGTTCATCAGTACTGTATGTCAGTTTCATGACGGCACGCTTGCCTGGGTTCTATAATGGAGTGAAGCAGGCCTGTGTGCTTGCTCCCGTGCTTTTCAGCATGATGTTTGCTTTGATGTTCTCAGACGCCTTCAACAAAGATGAAAACGGAATCAAGGTCAGCTACTGCACTGACGGTGAATTATTGAACTTGAAAAGACTACAAGCCAGGACTAAAGTGGAGGGAGAGTTGGTGCATGACTTTTTGTTAAAGATTACTGTGTACTCAATGTAGCTGAGGCTGAGATGCCAACAGAGTATGGATTGATTCTCTATTTGTGCTAATTTTGGCCTAACAATGAACACCAAGAAGACAGAGGTTCTCCACCAGCCAGCACCCTACCACCCATATGTAAAACCATTGGTTACAGCAAATGGAGAAATTGTGAATGCCGTGGATAAGTTCTCTTACCTCAGAAGTATATTTTCCAGGGATGTCCACATAGATAATGAGGTAGATGCATGCATTGTCAGAGTTGGCTCAGTGTTTGGGAAGCTCCAAAGGAAAGTGTGGGAGAGAAGAGACTCTATTATTATTATTAGACTGCCTACCAAACTGCAGGTCTACAGAGTCCTTGTGCTGACCTCATTGTTGTATGCCTGTGCAACCTGGACAGCATACTAATGCCAAGCCAGGAAACGGAATCACTTCCATTTGAATTGTCTTAAGAAGATTCTGAAGATCACCTGGTTTTCTTGAGCTGAACTGCCAAGCACTCAAACTCTATTGCAGAGGGCACAGCTCTGATGGACTGGCCATGTTGTCTGAATGCCAAAAGCCCATTTGCCTAAGAGACTATTTTATAGAGAACTCACACAAGGCAAGTGCTCACATGGAGGTCAGAAGAAGCGATACAAGGCCACTCTCAAGAACTTTGGAATTGATTGTGTGACATGGGAGACACGGGCACAAGACCACTAGCATGGCACACCCTCATCAAAGAAGGTGCTCTGTGAGCAATGCAGGATTGCAGTAATTGAAAAGAAACATGAGATGTGCAAATTTAGAGAGAGTTCCACTCCAGATGTTCATATGGACTCTTTGTGCCTGACCTATGGTAGAGTCTTCCAGGCTCATACCGGTCTGATGAGTCACAGTCGGACACACTGTACCTTGACACCAACATAGTGATGTCATTTTGGTCCTCTTCAAGAATGAAGCACAACAACCAATACCACAACTTGTTCAGCCATTCCCCAATGGATGAGCATCCCCTCAATATCCAATTCTTGGCCACCATGAAAAAGAGCTGCTATATTTTTGTACAAATAGGTCCTTTCCCCTTTTCTTTGATCTTTTTGGGGTACAAACTTAATAGTGGTATTGCTGAGTCAAAGAGTATGCACAGTTTTATAGCTTTTTGGGCTCAGTTTCAAATTGTTCTCTAGAATGGTTAAACTAGTTCACAGTTTCATCAACAATGCATTAGTGTCCCAAATTTTCCACATATCTTCCAATGTTTGTCATTTTCCTTTTTTGTCACATTAGCCAATCTGATAAGTGTGAGGTGTTATCTCAGAGTTGTTTTAGTTTGCCTTTCTCTAATCGGTAGTTATTAAGAGCATTTTTTCACATGGCTATCGATAGCTTTGATTTTTCTTTCTGAAAAGTGCCTGTTCATATCCTTTGACCATTTATCAACTGGGGAATGGCTCTTATTTTTATAAATTTAGCTCAGTTCCCTATACATATGAGAAATGAGGCCTTTATCAGAGAAACTTGCTATAACATTCCCCCCCACCTCCACCGTTTCCCATTTTCCTTCTAATTTCGGCTGCATTAGTTTTGTTTGCGTAAAAACTCTTAAATTTCATGTAATTAAAGTTATTTTACTTCCCATGATCCTCTCTGTCTCTTGTTTGGTCATAAACTCTTCCCTTTATCCATAGATCTGACAGGCAAAATTTTCCACGCTCCCCTAATTTACTTATGATATCACCCTTTGTGTCCAAATCATTTATCCATTTTGATCTTATTTTGGCATGCAGTATAAGATGTTAGTCTATGCCTAGTTTCTGCCAAACTGCTTTCCAGTTTTCCCAGCAATTTTTGTCAAATGTTGAGTTCTTAACCCCAGAAGCTTGTATCTTTGGATTTATCAAATACTAGATTACTATCAAATGCTGTGTATTGTGTACCTAATCTGTTCAACTAACCCACCGCCCTATTTCTTAGCCAGCACCAGATTGTTTTCATGATGAGTACTTTGTTGTACAGTTGGAAATCTGATACGGCTAGGCTGCTTTCCTAATGCATTTTTTCCTTTGATTCTCTTGATATTCTGGACCTTTTGTTCTTCCGGATGAATTTTATCATTTTTTTTCTAGCTCTATAATTTTTTGGTAGTTTGACTGGTATGGCACTGAAGAAGTAAATTAACTTAGGTAGCATTGTCCCTTCTACTATATACTGACTTGGCCTACCCAGGAGCAATGAATCTTTCTCCAATTGTTTAGATCTGTCTTTATTTGTGCGAAAAGTGTTTTGTCCATATAATCCCTAGGTTTGTCTTGGCAGGGAGACTCCCAAGTATTTTCTATTGTCTGCAGTTATTTTCAATGGAATTTTTCTGTCTATGTCTTGCTGCTGGACTTTGCTGGTAGTATACAGAAATGCTGATGATTGGTGTGGGTTTATTTTATATCCTATAACTGCTGGATTGTTTGTTGGTTCAACTCATTTTTTAGTTTATTCTCTAGGGTTCTCTTAAGAAAACCATGATGTCATCTGCAAAGAGTGAGAGTTTTGTTTCCTCATTGCCTATTTTTATTCCTTCAATTTCTTTTTCTTTTTCTTATTGCTATAGCTAGCATTTCTAGTATAGTGGGGGAAATGGACATCTTTGCTTCATTCCTGACCTTACTGGGAAGGCTTCAAGTTTATCTCCATTACAGATAATGCTTGTTCTTGGTTTTAGATAAACACTACTTATCATTTGAAGGAAGGCTCAATTTATTCCTATGCCTCCTAGGGCATTGTATTTTGGCAAAGGCTTTTTCTGAATCTATTGCTACAATCCTATCATTTCTGTTGTTTTTGTTATTGAGGTGGCCAGTTATGCTGAGAGTTTTCCTAATATTGAGCCAACCCTGCATTCCTGATGTAAATCCCACCTGGTCACACTGGATGATCTTTTGTGACATATTGCTGTAATCTCTTTGCTAGTGTTTTATTTAAATTTTTTGCATCAGCATTCATTAAAGATATTGGTCTAGAGTTTCCTTTTTTTTTTTTTCCTCTTCCTGGTTTAGGTATCAAAACCATATTTGTGTCATAAAAGGAGTTTGTCCACCAAATACTTAAATAGCCAACTGTCCCCACCCTGAGTTTCCTTCTGACTAAATATACCCCGTTCCTTCAACTGATTCTCATATGGCACGCTCTTGATGCCTGCAGGCCCTCCAATCTCCCTCTCCCCCTCCTTCTATATCCCAGTTACCCTTTTCTGCATTCTCTTTACCTTATCAATATCCTTCTTAAGATGTGGCATCTACAACTGATCCCTCAGTGTGGCCCGATGAGGGCAGAGCATTGGGGGATGGCACCTTCTTATTCGAGGGAGTTGTGCCTTTCTGAAGTCAGGCAAAGATTGCGTTAGTGTTTCTGGTGGCCATATCACACTGCAATTTGTTTCATTGCACCCTGGTCTACTCTTCCCTACCCTCAAACCTCAAGCACACATTTAGGCCCTGAAGAGACAGAAAAAGATGAGCAGCTCTGGTTTCCACAGTTACACAGCCACATCGTAGGTACCCAGGTAAGCAACCTGAGGCCTGCTTCCCTAGCAGCCAGACAAAAGACATAAAAGCTTCCAAAGTTTATTTATTTACCCAATATTAACTTAACAAAGTGTCATTAACATCTGCCTCAAGAGCATGAAGACCAAGGATCTCTATTCCTACTAAAACAACAGGACAAGGCATGCCCTTGTCTCAAGGTAGAACCTAGACCCGTGCCTCTAACCTAAGCAGTGAGTAAGTAGGTCAAGACTATCAACAAGGCCTCATCGAAGTCACCTTCTTGGGATGAGGGCAGACACCTCATATTGGTTTGGGTGGCACCAGACTGACCTCCAACAGAAATGTGGGAAAGGGGAACCTTCTCAGCTGACGGATCAACCTACGTGAGGGACTCTTTAGGGTTATGGGAATGGCTTGGGGCTCCCCGGTTCCAGGCAGCCCGCTCACAACAGAGGTAGCATCTGGAGAGAAGGAAGATAATGGGGGGTGGAGGAGAAGGGAACTTCTTTATTATGCAACAAATAGCCAGAAATCCAAAATAGTCACTAAAAGCCCTCTGCCTCAGCAACCTCTAAAGCAGCATGAAGATGCCTCCCAGGCTTAGCCTCTAATTTAGAGGGCTGCCTCCTCCTCGCTGATGGGGGTACAGCCAGAGAAGAAGCTAGTGGTGCTGCTCAGAACTCGCTTCTTCTTCTTCTCCCCTGGAGCCTTGTTCTCCTGGGAGGCACCTGCAGGGCCAGTCTCTAGAGGGGCAGGGGAAGGAGTCCACTTCTTCAACTTTGTGACTGACAGCACCTGGCCCGCATCATACATCTCTTGAAGGATCTAGGAGGACAGAGATGGGGATGAACGAGCTCCTGCTATGAGCAAAAGTCTAGCCTAGCCACTCAAATGACAACTCTTGGGCATGGCCATCCCTTCCAGACACTGCCTCCCCCTGCATTTCTTCTGGCAGCTCCTACCTTGCTATTGGGAGTAGCACAGACGGGCTTGAAGAAGCTCAGTCCCGGGGTCACTTCTGTGGGATCCTCCAGCTTGAAGGAGCCTTCAGGGTCCTGCATATTCTCTGTACTGGATGTATCCTGAGAGACGGACAGGCAGATTGTCATGGTGAGAAGCAGTGTACGTCATTCAGAGCAAGGTGTACAGGTGGTAGCCTTTCAGAGGTACCAGTGTTAGCCAACCTATTTTTTTTCCCCGCCAGAGAGGAAAGGAGTTTGAAGACAACTGCTCTAAATGTGTCCAACAGGGCCATCATTTACTACACTGAGATGTCTATCTACTTAGAACTTCCTCATTCCCATTAATCATCCCAGTGAAAGGAGTGGAAGAGGTGACTTGGACAATGACTTCAGTACTTCCAAAGCGAGTCTGAAACTGGCCAGGTGTCGGCAGCTTGGAGCACAGTGGTGGCCATCGCGAGGTCACCGTGGCGTGGTCTCCTCTTTAAGTTGTGGGCTCATGGTTCCCCCAGATGAACGACGGCATTTAGCGTAGAACTGCACCAGGTCCAGAGTTTTGAGGTACCAGCAAGGACACCTCTACTCCCTAGAGCCATGACATTAATGCTTGGCTCACAGAAATCCCAGCAAGCCTTGAACTGGTTGGGCCAGTGTGAAGATTCCTGACAGAGGCGGTGTGCTTACATGGCCTCTGCAGTTTCTTTCAGCTCTAAGCCTAGGATCCTTGGAAAGAGTGCTAGATTTGGACTTAGGAAACCCTTATACTTTCTAGCTTTGTGACCACTGACAAGTCACTTAATCTCTAGGTAAAATGCGGATATATAAGGACCTACCTTATGGGGCTGTGGGAAAGAAAGTACTTAGGAAACCTTCAAATCCTATGTAAATGAGAGGGATTAGAAACTAAATTTCACCAGGGCAGGGCCTTATCAAGACTTTGCATCTTCCTAGCACTCAGCACAGGGCTTCCTATAGGCAAATAACTGAATGATCTGCATCAGCATAAGGGAGCTCCTAGGATGGGAACAGAGCTGCACAAAGTTCCCCATTTGGGCAACCTGACTGGTTGAATATTTGGAAAAACCCAAGGGGCTACAAGGTTTCTAAGGAAGAAACCTGGAGGACGCGAGGGAGAAGACTGAGATAAATGGACCCCAAGGAGGGTGAGGGCACAGAAGGAGGGCTCAGCATTGCTCTCCGAGGCCAACTGGTTAGGCAGTTTAGCTGACCTAAAGTGACCTTTTCCCCTCCTTTTAGTCTTGGTTACAAGGGCTCAAAGGGAGGGGAGGAGAAAGTAATAAATTTGGAAATGAGGGTGAGGTGTGAAAACAAAGAAATCGATACACAGAACTATTCCAGAAAAAGAACGGGAAGGGAAAGGCAAGCAGCAGGTTGGGCCCAAGAGCAAGGACGTCACTCACCGCTTGGTGGCCGCGGTTCCTGCACTTTGCAGGGTCACAGCTACAGTCCTCTCCACAGCCTGCCTTCTGCTTCCTGCATCCACACTGTCTGTTCCCACACCAGCCCTTGCAGGAGCACTGTGAGAAACAAGAAGAGAAGAGGCGGGCTCAGAGGAGGTCGGAAAGCTGAGAGCCTGCCAGCCTGCCTTCCTTCCAGAACAGGCTCCCAGGCTCCAAATGCCCAGGGTACCCTGACCGTCCTGCCTCTAAAGCAATGTCGGAAGTCCAAGGATGCCCAGTGGCAATCTGCGAAAGGCTCTTCTGGTAGATCATTCAACAAATCTGCGCCAGGCACTCTGCTCGTCCTTGGTTTTTGACCGGTGACATCACAGATGACACCGTGGCTTGTGAGACGGGGCCGCCCAAAGTCGTCAGCCTCACCTCCTCTTCTGCGATCATCGATGTCCTGCGGCAAGACAAAAGTCACCGGGACGTGCGGGATGACCATGGCTACTTCCATGTCCGCCCAAGCTCTAAGCGCTCCACAGCGCCTGCTTCAGCCGCCTTCGTGGCCATTGGAGCAGATCGCTCTCGTCTGCCCATTCCACCGGGGGAAGTTTTCACATGCTGGGGGCCGCCATCCCCCTCACTCACCAATGAGGTAGAGGCCTGTTACTCTCAACCTGACGTAGCCCATTTCTACCGGGGTGTGGCTGCTGCATGTGCTCCAGCTTGTTGGAGCCAGAGGGGAGAGATGGGTGACAGGTGGATACCAAAGGTGGATGAGCAGCCCTCCCCCGAGAGGGGAGAGTCCTCCTGAACAATAAGCCCTCCCTGCAATGAGCTGACATTTTAACAGGGGAAACGACAATTGGATAAATACCAAGTGGTTTGGTACGAGGTAGTTTGGGAGGGAGCAGGAAAGGCTTCCTGCAGAATATGGCGCCTGAGCGGCACCTTCTACAAGGCAGAGAGAGAAGAGAAGGAAGAATCGAAGTCTAGGCCTGGAGAACACTCAGTGCAAAGACACAGAGGTGGGATATGGGCACTATCTGTGAGGAACAGAGAGAAGGCTGGTTGGTGGGGAGTGCAGTGTGGGAGAGGAAGGGAAGGGAAATTGGGGCCAGCTCATATAAGGTTTTAAAAACTAAACACGAGCCTGTATTTTATTTTGGAGGCAAAAGGAAGCCTCTGGAACTGGTTTCAGTAGGAGTTGAGAGTAGGAGCTACATGGTCAGCTCTGTACTTGGGGAAAGTTACTTTGGAATCAGCACCTAGAAAGTACTGGACTGGGGAGAGATTTGAGGCCGGGAGACCAACTGGGAGGCTGCTGTGATAATCCAGGCAAGAGGTGAGGAGGGGCTGAACCAAGATGGGAGTTGTGGGAGTCGAGAGAAGGGGTTGGAGGTGAGACCTGTTATGAAGGGAGAAAGGGTGAGATTTGGCAACTGATTTGGAAATGTGAGACAAGGGATATCATGTCAAGATTATGACCCAGAGGGACCAGAAGGATGGTGGTGCCTTAGACAAAAATAGGGAAGTTTGGAAGAATCAGGGGGAACAGTCAGGAATTCAGTTTTGACATGTTGAATTGAAGATGTTTAGGAGACATCTAGTTTGAAATGTCCAATAGGCGACTGGTGATACAGGACTGAAACTCAAGAGAGGGACTGAGGCCGGAGATACAGATCTACATAAAGATGGTAGTTAAATTCATGAGAGCTGGGGCAGCTAGGTAGCTCAGGGGATAGAGCTCTGGCCCTGGAGTCAGGAGGACCTGAGTTCAAATCCTGCCTCAGACACTTAATACTTACTAGCTGTGTGACCCTAGGCAAGTCACTTAACCCTGACTGCCTCACAAAAAAAAAAAGGCAAAAAAATAAACAAAAAAATCGGAAAAAAGCTATGTGACCCAGGAGGCTGGAAATTCCATTTAAGGGGCATTTCCCCCCTTCACTTTCAAGTCTTGTAGAAAAAAATAGGGAAACTCCCATGTCTTAGTCCGAACTTCTTCCTCAATCCTCCTGGCTCCAGGTTTTCTTGTACTGGCCCCAGTGTTACCCTGAGCTGCCAGTAGGTAGGCAGCAGAGAAAAAGAACGGCAGGCTGGGAGTTGAGAGACTGGCGGCATGGGCTTGTGTTTAGCTCTCTGTACCTGGGTTCTCATCTCTTCAAAAGTGCTCGCTGCAACAAATGCCCGCCCAGCCTGTCATAAAGTACGCGCTCTAACCTTGGCTTCCTTAGGCTCACGGAACGTTAGGGCTGGAAGGGAGCTAGTCCAATGCCCTGGAAGGGCGGCAGGGGGCAGACTCAGCCCTATTACTCATCACCTCTGACCAGAGGCAAATCCCGACAAACGGAAGCTAACAATGCCCACCCTCCCTCTGACAAGATTTCTTGTGAGTGAGGTAAGCTGTCATCCATGTTCAAGATCACTCCAGTCTCCTGGTGCTCTTTCTACCACCCTACACTGCCAATTCATTAGCAGCTTTTGGCCACGGGCAACATGGCTGATGTGGGGCAGCGAGATGGTTCAGTGGATAGAGTGCTGGGCCTGGAGTCAGGAAGACCTGAGTTCAAATCCAGCCTCAGACACTTCCTAGCTGTGTGACTCTGGGCAAGTCATTTCACCTGTTTGTTTTAATCCACTGGAGAAGGAAATGGCCAAGCACTCCAGTATCTTAGCCAAGAAAATCCCACGGACAGTAGGGTCCATGGGGTCACAAAGAGTCAGATATGACTGAATAACAACCACCACAACAAAAACGACACAGCTAAATGACAAACTGGGCTCTTGGGGTGACTTGGGATGAGATACCACTTTAATATTTATTCCACCCAGGCTCCTTTTTTTATAACTTATCGAACAGACACATGCACCTGATGTGGAAGGCACAGAAAGGAGAAAATCTAAACTTTGGACACCTCTTTACTAAAGGGCTAGGCCTCTAGTCTCCTCATCCCCCTGGGCCTCTCTCACTCTCGTCACTCACGTGTCCTTGGCTCCTGTGCTCCACTCAAGCTACAGAGACCTGCTGTCCCCCACCCAATTCCCCTGCCCTTCCTGAACCGCTCTCCTCACCATATCAACCTCCTCCTCTGAAATGCTACAATGCCCGTTCCTCCTCCCGGTGCCTTCCTAGTCTAACCCAGTGGGCTCCAAGCTCTAGAGCCACTTTGGCCCCTCTCAGCATGTGACTACACTTAGGTGTTTTGATAAACTACTTAGCCCCTTGAAGACAGGGAGAGTCAGCTGTACTCCTACTATACCCAGTCCAAGTGACGGTCAATAAAGATTCTAGACTAACTCTAAGAGCCCGGTGCGTACGTTGCCAGCTTTTCTCTGGCACCATGGAAGTTGTACAAGAAGCTGATGGCTATCGGAATGAAGCAGCCTCCCAGAAAGTCAACTGTTTTCATGAGGGTCGGCAGGAATGAGAGTGAAACTATACCCACTGGATGCAAGAAGGGCCAAGTGGCCCCACTGGCATCAGGGAAGAGCAGTAGCTGGTGAATGGACAAAGGAGAGGCTTCACACTGTCAACTGAAAACCACAGAAGGATGGTAATTAGACAAAACATGTCACACTAACAAGTCAGATTGCTCCTCAGTGATCTTAACCTGGTGTATGAACTCCTGATTCACCATTCTTCTGAAGTCAATGTCTTCCCCTTCACTCAAAAGATCAGTGGGGAAGAACTGGGTAGAGAAGAGAAGGCTCCTGCCCAAGTTCTGACTTGACATTTTCAAATCAGCCTCAATGTAACCATGTGGAACATCTACTTAGACAGACCTTGAAGCGTTAACAGTCAACTCCTGCCAGCCTTCCACACTAGGCCCAGGCTCTGGAAAGCTGGCTTAATGACTCCTTGGGGAGAGGCAACTAGGGTTCTAAGAACATAATGGTGGGGAAAGTTGGCGTGGCTCAGCCCCAGCTCAGATGCTTCACATGCTGTGAAAGCCAAGATCAAGGACCGTGGCCAGAGAGCTGGGGACATGATTCTCACCCCTTGCACGCTCTTCTTGGAACCTTTGACTAATTTCTTTGGCTTCCACTCATCATCGTCCTCATCGTTATCAGCTTCACTCTCAGAGGGCTCTGTGTTAGATTTCAGATCCTCGACTTCCATGGTTGGTAACAGGACCTTTTCTTTAGTTGGACGGGAAGGCCTTGGCTAAGAAGAGAGAAGGTTATAGTTATTATGTGTGTAAGGTTAAACTAAATGAATAGGCGCCACATCTTTCCTAGCAGCTGTTACCAGCTACATTTTCAGGGCAAAGTTTTCATACTCCCTCAAGTCTATTTTACTTGGCTTCATCAGCTAGTATCCTAGCTGGACAGTCCAGGGCAATGGTGATGCTGGGGTATACTGGGCATTGTAGCTTGTGACAGGTGTTTTTTATAAAAGGAGTTCTGGGACTCTACTGGCAGGTTTACAACCCACCACACCTACACTCACAAACCAGGGGCATGAGATGGCGTCACTGGCATTAACTCCAGCCACTGTACCTTGGGTGGGATATACTCAAAGGAAGAATCTGGAGACAGAGTGGTAACCTTCGGAAGGTGAAGTTTCTGCCCACTGACGACTTGGAGAAGGTTCAGTTTCTGTTTGAAAAGAAAGACAAAGCGTGCGTGGAGTGCAGGGCAGCTTTTGAGTACACAACCACAGTACAAATCATTTAGTATCAAGTGAGCTTTGGCCTCATGGCAAAGTAACGACAAGGCCACGGCGAAGCAGGCTGCAGGCCTTCCCAGATGAGAACTAGATTTGGGCAAGGGCGAATGCAAGTATTCTTGTTCATTGCATTTTGAAATATATATGACCTAGAAAGGCAAAACGCAGCCCCAGGTGTAGCTGCATGGCCACGCTGAGAGCTGCTCTCAGAGGGAGTTCCTGCTCCAGCAGCAGCCGGGGCTTCCCAGATCTCCCCGTGGGTGGGAATCCTACCTGCTTGATGCACTCATTCTCTCGGAGAAGCTGCTGGTTTTGCTCACACACTTCTCGCATCTTCTCAAGCTCTTCATCCTGTTGCCAGGGCAGGCAGAGTTATGTGGGGCACTACACGGAGACTACCAGACAACTCCCGGGGACAAAACCACCCTGCTACAAGGCTGCCAGCTGCTGGCACACCAAGCGATAGAGCCAGCAAAAACTCAGGGAGCAACGACGGCCACCCTTACCCCACTGCTCTCGGCAGCCTTGATTTTCCACTAGCCAGCCCTGTCAAGACGCCTTTGCTGTTCTTTGTGTGTTCCGGCCTTGCTCTCCCCTCATCAGAATGAATAAGAAACCTGTGAAGACTTAGTGGTGTTTTTCTTTTTCTTTTTGGGCTAGGTGATGGAGTTAAGTGACTTGCCCAGGGTCACACGGCTAGTAAATGTCAAGTGCCTTGAGGCCGGATTTGAACTCAGGTCCTCCTGACTCCAAGGCTGGTGCTCTACCCACTGCGCCACCTAGCTGCCCCTCAGCTGGGTTTTCGAAGCCTAGAGAAACTTTGTTTCACAGCCTCAACTACAGGAACGTTATATGCTAAGTAAGTGTGGTCCACATGGTACCTCAGTAGAGAGAGAGACTCAAGGAAACCTAAAAAATGGATTCAGGTAGGGAGAGGTATTCTAAATTGGGAAGAGGTTAAGCACTCCAATGTCACTTCAGGGCATGGGGCTCCTAATCTCTGGAAGAGATTCAGACTCAAGGCATTCTGCAAACATGTTGGGTCCTAGTTAAGAGCCAGCTGAGAAATCTAGAGTAGCAATGTCCCCAAGTTGTGGGTGACTGGTGGACAATCTCACTGTCCAGTTGTCCTTCATCCTGGACATGGCTGAACTTTAAGTGTATTGTGTGTCAGCATAGTAAACTGATGCTAAATCGGTGATGTTGCTGGGCCCGGCAGCCCTCAGCTACAGTTCAGCATTACTGGTTCTATATCCTGCTCATTCCAAAAGGTTATAGTATTCAGTAAGTTGGGAAGCTGTCTGGCTGAATCAAGGCATAGTAGTGACAGTCAAGAGAGCAGATCCTAAATGATAATGAGGAGGAAAGCTGCGTAAAATCAGGTCAAAGACAATTGATGCTGCTAGTACCAAAGGCCCAAAGGCCCGAGCACTCATCATTTCTGTTAACTACAAAAGCAGAAAGTGACATTCATTCAAGAAGCATTTATTCTTTTCAAGCTCTTCATCCTATTTCCAGGGTAAGGAGGGTTATTTAGGACGCTACCTGTGGACTACCAGACAACTCCTGGGGACAAAACCACCCTGCTACAAGGCTGCCAGCTGTTGCACACCAGGCAATAGAACCAGGAAAAAGTTCTTCTTCTGGCTCTGGGAGCAACAGATGGACGCCCTTGTGCCACTGCTCTCCACAGCCTGTGTTTAGGGTTGAGGACACACAGACACAATGCTTTGGGGGTCTCCTGGTCTTTCATCAAAACAAACTTGTGTCAATAAAAACCCAAGACATTATAGTAGACGATAACAGTATATTATAGTATATTAGACTATATAGTAGCTACTGAGAGACCTTACAAACAACTATGCCAAGCCTGTGCACCCCAGCCCTACGGACAGTACCTGAAACTTTAGCCTGTCAAGCAGCAGCTGCTCCCGTTCACTGATGGAGTCTTCTAGCTGTGTCTTTATAGCCTGGTTTTGCTGCAATTGGCTCAGAAGATAGAGTACCTAGAGAAAGACAAAGGCTGGATGGTGACTCGTTCATGGATTTGGGTTGTGCCCAAAGAAATGAAAGAGTTCCAGGTTATCCCAAATGCTGATCTAGGCAATCTCACAGCGAATCAGGAGTAAGCATGATGTTCTTTGGCAAAGAACTAGCTCTAGGCGAGAGGCAAAAGCATGACCTGGGACCAGCCTGTGGAGCCCTGGGCACTGAATGGCTGTGCCTTTCACCTTTTCTTGATGCTGTTGTTCTAGCTTCACCAGCTCCTCCTGTAGCTCACTCTCCATCTCAGCAGTGTGATTCCGTTCCTCCAAGAGCATCTTTTGCAGGTCAGAACAGTTGTCCTTGCTCTGTTTCAAGTTGCTTTCAAGTTTGCTGATCTGTACTTTGGAAGAGACCAGCTAGGAGGGGTACAAGAAGATTAATGAATCCAGAGAACTGCTATTTTTTATGTGCTAGGCTGGGCAGTCACCATTTTCCTAAAATAAGCAATGGGCACAGATGTCTTTTAGTCCAAATCTATTAACTTGCCTAGGGCACTGTCAACTAAAACATTCGAAGACTTCAAGAAGTCTCTAGAGAGCTGTGGTTTCGCTTCCCACTTCCAAGCAGGGCCACAGCCAACAGCTGAGAAAAATAGGGTCCAGCACCTCACAGCTCTGACACAGAACGAGGCCAGGCAAACTCTCATGCCCAGTTGTGTCCCATCTCCCTCTGTGTTCCCTCTGCTCGCATGGGAAAACATGCATGTGTTGGCCGAGATTGCACAAGTGGGTCTGGTCCACACATGTTTCTTCAGGGACATCACAAATCCTACTTCCCTTTTACTTCAGGACCTCTACTGTGAATTGCAAATGTTTATAGCATTAATCAGGATTCTTTCATGAGATTAAATTGATTAACCCAAACCAATGTATCCTAAGTAAGCATTTATTAAGAGCTGATTAACTGCCAGGCCCTATGCTTAATGGCTGGGGATACAAAGAAAAAGCAAAAACATTCCCCTGATCACAAGGAGTTGACATTCTAATGTGAGAGACAATATAAACCCCAATCACTAGATGCTGGGAGAAAAAGGAAAGGCCTCCTGCAGAAGCTGGTTCTTGGAGTCTTAAAGGAAGCAAGGGGATCTAAAAGTCAGTTTGGGAGGGAAGAGCAAGCGAGGTATGGGGGACAGTCAGTGCCAAGGTCCATATTGTATGTATAGAGACAGGCATACACCAGCTACCTATGGAGGAGAGGCAAGGGAACCTCCAAAGAAACTGAGAAAGGCCTCCTGGGGGAGGTGGCCACAGAGAAGCTCGAGACATTGAGAGACAGAGGTTGGAAGAAAGAGAACTCCAGGCATGGGGAAAAACTGGCGCAAAGGCACAAAGTCAGGAGATAGAGAGGCCTGTGCAAGGAACAGTGCCAGCCAGTACTGGCACAGTGTAGGGTGCGTGGAAGGGGTAGAATTTAGGACAAAGGTGGAGAACCTGCAGCCTTGAGGTCACACGAGACCCTCTAGGTCCTTAAGTTCGGCCCTGTGACAGTTTGTTCTGTGAAGTTTGGATTCAGTCACAGGGCCAAACTTGAGGACCTAGAGGGCCTTGTGTGGCCTCGAGGCCACAGGTTCCCTACCCCTGATTTAGGAGAATTAGGGAATGAAGGAAAGGGCTAATTTGTGAAGACCAAGAAATGCCAAACAAAGGATCTTTGGTCCTGGAGGCAACAGGAAGCCTCAGGAGATTACTGAGTAGGGAGGTGAAAGGGTTAGATTTATACTTTAGGAAAATCCATCTGGGTGGAGGCTGGCTAGGAGAGAAGCCTGAGGCAGGGACACCAAATGGGCCACAATCACAGTAGTTCAGCTGAGAGCTAAGTGAAAGAGATGTATGATATAAACATCATAAGAGCTGGCAACCAATTAGTTATGCAGTATCGAGGAGCAGAGGATAATACCAAGGTTGCAAACCTGGGAGAGTGAGAAGACTGTCAATGCCATCAATAGTAACAGAGAAGCTCAGAAGAAGGGAGGGTTTGGGCACTTAGTGAAGAGAGAGAGGGAGAAAGACAGTGAGCTCGGTTTTAGAGATGCCTCAGGGCCATCCATCCTGAAATGTCCAAAAGGCAGCTGGTGATATGGAACCAGAGCTCAGGGAGAGACTAGGGCTGGAGTACAGATCTGAGAGTCACCTGCACAGAGATAGCGGGACAGGACCCCGTGGGAACTAATGAGATCAGCTGCACAGCTAGTAGAGAGTGAAAAGGAAGAAGGCTTAGGACACAGCTAGGGGCAGCGCCGAACCACACCTACTGTTGGTATGGGCACATCAGTGGATTTGATATGGATGAAGATATGGCAAAACACAGGCAAGAGAATGAAGAGAGGAGGGGGTATCCAGGGAAGAGAAGGCGGTCAACAGTGGCCAATGTTGCAGAGAGGTCAATAAGGATGAGGAAAGATAAGAGGGCCTTAGGCTTGGCAATTAAGAAATCATGAAGAGAGTAGTTTCAGTAGAATGATGAGGTCGGAAGCCAGATTGTTGAGTATTTACAATTGAGAGGAGAATATAGATAGCTGAGAAGGTGAGGAGAAATATAGGTCAGCAGCTGGCGGGTATGGTAGTATTTTTGTATTGTAGCATCTAGTATTTTTGAAGGATGGGGGAGACTTAGATGTTTGTAGGCAACAGGGAAGGAACCCATAGGGAAGAGACTGAATATTATTAGAGAGAATGGGGATGATGGTGGGGGAAATCTGCTGGAGAAGATAAGGATAGGATGAGATCACACATAGAGGGGTTGGCTTTGGGGAGAAAAACAGAAATTTACAAATAGTGGTAATACTTCCAATCGTTGTTTCAGACTCTTCACTTGCCTCCTATGAAAATACCTAAATGAGGTGGTACAGACATTTAAGCCAATTTAACCAAATCAATTTATACCCTTCTCCTGTAGCAATTTAAGCTCCTATCTCCTGTTTGGACCTCAGTCAAAATGCAACAAGTGATTATAACTTTATTAGGGGGATTTGTTCTGAGAAGTTTGGATTCAGTCAAAGGGCTGCACTTGAGGACCTAGAGGGCCACCAAATGTGGCCTCGAGGCTGTAGGTTCCCCACTCCTGGACTAGCCTAACATGTATACCAGGGGAGCCCATCCTTGGCCATCTGTTCCTCAGGCTAGGAATCTAGAACTTCTTTTCTTAAAAAAAAAAACCAAAAAAACCCACCAACCTCCAAAAAACCCAAAGCCTACTTTGATCCTTGCTCCTCCAACTCCCCTCTCCAACCCCACCACAAAAGGCCCAAACCTGCCGACTGACACTGTCTTCTGAGTCTATTACATAGCCCTGCCCTATTACTGCCATGTTTTTGAAAAGCCAGGTTAAATCTTGTACTTGCAAGAAACCCCTAAGCATCTTTCCTATACTTCCTTCCATCAGGCTTTCCCCTGACTGCTAATCTGATTTATCGGTGGTATGTTGAAGTCCCAGGCCAACATCCCATCTGCATCCGCGTGGCTAGGTCCTTACCCCCCAGTAACCAGTGAAGCTTACCTCGCCCATCAAGTATTTGAGAGCACACTTCGCCTCTAGAATGGTTGGGATATTTTCCCAGCGGTTCTTTGCCCTATCTTCATTGTCTGCATCCAGCAATTTCTGTTGTAGGTCAGCAATTTGGGCACTCCTTCAGGAAGAGAAACAATGATGTTCACTGCTAGGCTGCCTGAAGCCTAAGGAGAAGAGAACTTAGGGAGGCAGCATGGCATGGTGGAAAGGGCACTGGACCTAAAGTCACGAAGACCTGGGTTCAAATCTTGCTTCAGACACTGGCCAAATCACTAAACCTCTTGTCCTTAGTGTCCTCATCTGTGAAATGAGGATGGATGGACTTGATTTCTAAGGGACCTATGAGCCCTGAGGAGACTCTTCTAACAATCCATGGAATCAAACATATATATTATATCTAATATATATTAGATATTATAATATATATGAAAAATCCCATTATATCAAAATCTTAAAATGACACGACTTCTTTTGGTAATGAATGAGACTTTATCTTTCTATAAACCTGCAATTACGTCTAGCCACATTAACTTGAACTAAGACCAAGCATCACAAGCACACCAGGCTTGGGTGTGACATCTGAAAGAACTACACCCCCCCCCCCCCCCCCCCTGCCCCGCCCCAGTGTGGCTTTGATTCAATAGCTCAGGTTTTCTGCTGGCCCTGAGTGTCCCAGGGTTACCCTAGGCTCATGGGACTGGGGGCCAGTCTGAGGTATCCCAAGGCCCAACAGTGCCAAAAGAACTGAATTTGGAAGCACAGACATGGTTTCTGGCACTTACTAGCTGTGTGGTCCCTTGGGCAAATTACTTCTCCTCTCTAGGCCTTGATTTCTTTCTCGGGGGCTGAATTAGACAATTTCTTTTTTCGCTAGGAAATCAGGGTTAAGTGACTTGCCCAGGGTCACACAGCTAGTTAAGTGTCAAGTGTCTGAGGTTGGATTTGAACTCGGGTCCTCCTGACTCCAGGGCCAGTGCTCTGTCCATTGCACCACCTAGCTGCCCCTTGAATTAGGCAATTTCTAAGGGTCTTTACAGCTCTAAATCCATAGGCCCTCCCCAGCCCCCCACACCCCCCCCAAGTCAAAGCTTTGGTAATGATCCCAAGAGTTTTTTAGATAAATGTGGCTGGCCCAGAAAACCTTCTAATTTTCTTGAACCCTTTTCCAATTAGCTCAGTGACTGACTTCTGATGTGAACTGAAACACTAATTCTCTGGTCCTTCCACAATCTGCCAGTGAACTGAGAGTACTTAGTGACGCCTCAGCTCATACAGCTAGTTCAGCAGTAGGCTAGTTAGGTGCTGCCGGGGATACAAAGAAGAAGACATTGTCTCTGTACTTAGGAAGCAATATCGAGAATTTCAAATAAACAATATAAATGCACATGAGACAATGAGTAAATACTATACACGATTAAGTTGATAAAGGGCACGTGACAGAAAATATGACTGCTCCCAAGTCCTTGGGCCCAGTGTTAAGGACTCTGCCTTTTGCCCGCTTTCCCTCCCCTCTTCCACTTTCTCTGGACTTTCTACACTTCAGCACTTAATGTTTATCCCATATTGCAAAACCCAGCTCAAGGCTCATCTCTGCCAGGAAGCCGTCTCTGCTTAAAGTGACTTTTTTCACTCTCTGCTTGACACACTCTCTTGAGTTCCTTCATCAATCCATGCATACACACCTTACACTTGAGAGCAAGGCCTATGCCCCTGTTCTTCTCCATTTCCTCATCCTCAATGCTCTGGGAAAACCAGGCACTCAAATATTTATGATTTGTAAATGCATCCCAAGACTAAGAAACAGCAGGCACTGCTAGGAGATGTTAGAGATTGTCCCTTTTAGCTCGAAAAGTCTACGATCCTAAGTAAATAAAAAAGAATACCATAAAAATTCTTCCAGGTTTCTAGCCAATGTGACTGCAGAAACCACATGGCATACAGCACTAGCCTAGAAGCCTTGGCTCTGTCACTAACCTTGGACAAGGAATTTTGGCGCTGTTTCCTTCTCTATCAAAGAAAGGGTTGGATGACGTCACTTTTAAAGGTCCCACCCAGTAGCGGGATCCAGAGAATTCTACTCTTGCTCCTTTAAACTATTCTCAAGGATTTGGGTTTGGTTGAACTGGCTGTGCATTTCTCCAGATGCTACGATCTTCCACCTTCACAAATGAGGCCTTTCACACAAAAGTTGTTGAATTTACATATTAATTCCATACAGCCAGAAGAAATCTAGTTTCCAATCTGAAATCAACTATGAGTCTTTCCGATGTTTTAGGGACAATCCTCTTACCTGAGCTCCATCTCAGTCTCCAGGCTCTCTATCTGTTTTGTGACAGAATCATCTGATGTACAACTCTGCAGATCAGTAAGTAAATATGTCCGCCTCTGCAGGGAAGGAGCAAAGAAGCAGTGTCTTGCTCATCTATTGCATTTCATCCATCAAATGAGTCAACAAATGTAAAGCACTTCACTAGCTATTTTATTATTATTTATTTCTTGACTTTTTCTTCTTTTTCCAGATTGTTTTGATAACTGCTTCCTAATACATTTTAAAATCTGGAGTGAAGGCCGTCTTTACCTTTAGCCCCAGGCAGCCAGACCCCGAGGTGTCTTCTGAATATTCTTAGCAGTTAATTTTTTTTCATATAAATTTACTGATTTTATCCAGTCCTATAAAGAAATCCCTTGGTATTCTGATTGGTATTGAATTAAAAACACAAATTGATTTGGAGAGTATTTGCCATTTTTACTTCATTAATATGACTTCCTCATGAACCTTGAGTACTCCTCCAATTTAGATTTTTCCTTTATTTCAGTCAGTAGTTTTATGATTGCCCCCATGTGTCATAGACATTTGTTACTGTAAGTGGGGTTTCAAAAAATGTTGCTAATCAATAAGAATGTAAAAGATTATCATGAGGTTTTTGGGAGGCAACTGGGGTTAAGTGACTTGCCCAGAGTCACACAGCTAGTGTTATGTGTCTGAGGCTGGATTTGAACTCAGGTCCGCCTGCCTGCAGGGCTGGTGCTCCATCCACCTAGCTGCCCCTCACTAATTTCTTGATAGAGACAAATGGATTTTCTAGATATGCTATCAGGTCAACTGCAAATTACACTTCTAATGTTGATTTGCCTAATAATTGTTTCTTGTCTTTTTTGTTTGTTTTTTGTTTTTTGTTTTTAGGCAATTGGGGTTAAGTGACTTGCCCAGGGTCACACAGCTAGTAAGTGTCAAGTGTTTGGTCTGAGGCTAGATTTGAACTCAGGTACTCCTGACTTCAGGGCTGGTGCTCTATCCACTGCACCACCTAGCTGCCCCCAATTGTTTCTTGTCTTATTGTAGTTTGAATACATGTCAAATGAAAGCAGGGAAAACAGGCATCCCTGTTTGGGACTCATTTTGGTGGGAACATTTCTCCATTATTTATTATGTTGGCTCCTGGGGTTAAGAGCCCTTTTTATTGTGTTGAGTTGAGAGAGAGAGAGAGAGAGAGAGAGAGAGAGAGAGAGAGAGAGTGTTTTAAAGTAGAAAGACTGGATTTTATCACAAGTTTTATTTCATCCACTAAAACAATCACATTTTTGGGAGTCCCCTCCCCCCTTTATATATTATCTCATACTGAGTTTTCCTGCCTGGAAACCCTGCCTGCTCATTACAAATAATTTTGAAGAAAAAAAAATTTTAATACTAATAGTATAATCTTGTGACTGGCAGAAGCAACTTTATTTAATTTATCATCAATCTCTATCTAAGCCAGACAGAAGTGGTGGAAATTGGCATATTTCCCCATGCCTTTCAACCTGACCGTGGGCTCCAAGACAATGTCAGCTGACACTTATGAGAATCCTGAACAAGAAAAGAGAATAATATATTAAAAAATACAGGTTTGGGTTAACATTCCAGAACTACTCAGTGCTCTCCCAGATTACTTTCTTCAAGGACTGAAAAAAATTCCTTCCAGTGATCAAAATCTCAACTTTAAATGCAAGAGGATACTGCCTTGGGGTAAGTGGTGGAGTCAAACACAAGCACTGGGTGGAGAGGCTCTAATCCTATTTGGAGAAGTAAATATCATTAATCCATTTCAAAGGAGGGCCTTTATTTTTGTTCCCACTTTCCTAAGGGGAAAACCTGGAGAGTTTTAGACTGAAGAAACACTATTTTTTGAGAACAACTATGAACATGTAAAATATATAAGGAACTGTTAAAAATTTAGGAAGACAGCTCCTAGGACACATTAGATAAATGGTCAAAGGATATGAACAATTTTCAAAAGAGGAAGCACAAATTGTTAACAATTTACCTGAAACACTACTCGAAACTAGAAAAATCAAGAAATTAAAACCCTTTAACTAAACTCCAAAATAGAAAATTTGAAAATAAGAGAGTAACAACATTGAAAGAAAAAAAAGCAAACACTGACTTAATAAATAAAGCTAGGAGCTGTTAAAAAAAATCAATAGAACAGATTGGGTAATTTGACTGTAAAAAAAAGGGAGAGGAAAATCAAGTTATCAGTATCAAAAAAGGGAATTCCCAGCAAATGAACAGAGGAAATTAGTAGAAATTATATTGCCCAAATTATGTCAATAAAACTGACAACCTGAAAGGGATGAATATTTGCAAAACTGCTTAGATTAACAGAAGAAATGGAAAATGGTAATAAAGAAAGAAATGCCTTAAATAACCCAATTTTGGAAAACAATTGAACAAATCACAAATGAACTCCCAAAGAAAGAAACCCTAGAACTAGAGAAATTTACAAGTGAATTCTATCAAATATTCAAACAAAAATTAATTCTAATAGTACATAAGCAGTTTGAGAAATACCTACCAAAATCCTTCTATGAAACAAAGACGGCCCTGATATCTGTACAAGGGAGAGTCAAAAGGGAGAACAAAAACTCTAGACTAATCAATACCCCTAATCAACACTGGTGTAGACTTTTTCAATGTTCACGAAGAGATTATAGCAATATGGCAAGAAAGGCTGGATTTATACCAGGATTGCAGATATCAGGAAAACTATCCACAGAACCATATGGCTATAAATAGTTGCAGAAAAGGGTTTAAAACAAAACAAAACAAACAAACTCCACCGGGATAAATAGACCTTTTCTCAATACGATGAATAGTGTCTATGGAAAATGAATAGCCAACATTATATGTAATGGAGATAAAGTAGGGAGCAGCCTTTCCAATAAGATGGGGTAAAGCAAGTATGTCCAAGTATCGTCACCACTCTTTGATACAGTGCTAACGATAAAGAAAAATCAAGTGAAGGCAAAAAGGAAAAAAAAATCGCTTTTTGCCAAGATGATGGTTTACTTAAAGAGCCCCAGAGAATTAACTAAAAAAATATTAAATAATTTAAAACCATAAAATAAATCTACATAAATCACTGACATTTCTGCATATTGCCAACAAAACCCAGTAGGAACAAGTGGAAAGAGAAATTTTTGCTTAAATAATTACAGACTATATAAAATACTTGGGAATCTACCTGCCAAGACACACACAGGAACCATCCGACTACGACTACAAAACACTTTTTACACAAACAATGAACTAAATAACTGATGAAATATTACTCATGGATAGGCTAGCCAAATCAACATAATCAAATGATGATACCACCTAAATTAATTTGCTTATTTAGGATCATGCCAATCAAATTACCAAAAGGTTACTTGAGGGAGTTAGAAAAAATAGTAAGATTCATCTGGAAGAAAAAAAAAGTCAGGACTCTCAAGGGAAATCATGAAAAAAAGTGAGATGGAAGGAGACTCTACAAAGCAGAAATCATCAAAATAGTTTGGTATTAGATAAGAAACAGAGAGGTCAATCTGGAAACAGATTCAGAACAAAACACAGAAGCAAACGAGCCCAGCAGACTGGTGTTTGACCAACCCAAAGCCCCCAGTTAGCGCGGTAAGAACTCACTATTACAAAAACCAAACCAAGCAAACAAGTGCTCAGAAAGCTGGACAAGACCCAGCAGAACTAGGTAGAGATCTAAATCCCACACCTTATACCAAAACAAGCTCCAAATGAGTAACCAAATTGTAGCATCATAAACAAAGGAGGAGAGCAAGGGAAAACGACATTCCTCATCTATGGCTAGGCGAAGGGCTCATGATCAAACAAGAGGCAGAGAAAAACCACAGAACAGAAAACGGGCAGTTTTGATTACATAAAACTAAAGAGTTTTCGCACAAGCAAAACCGACACAGTTAAAATTAGAAGGGAAACAGATATTTTGGGGAAAAATATTTGCAGTAGGTTTCTCTGATAAGGAACTCATTTCTAATATACAGGAATGGATCCAAATTTATAGTAAGAGCAATTCTCTCATTAGTAACTGGATACAAACAAGCAGTTTTCTAAGAAATCCAAGTTATTGATAGCTATAGAAAAATGCTCTGAATCATTAAAATTAGGGAAATGTAAATTAAAGCAAATGTGAGGTCCCATCTCAATCCCATTAGATTAGCAAAGTTGACAAGAAAGGAAAATGACATGTTGGAGAGGTAGTAGACCTGTGAATTGGTCTAGTTATTCTGGAAAGCAGTTTGAAACTATACCCTCTCCTCCCCCCCTCCCTCAAATTACTAAATTGTGCATACCCTTGGACCCAGCTTTACGATCACTAGGCCTATATCTCAAAGAGATCAGAGAAAGGAAAAGGATTCATACATACAAAAGTCTTGATAGAAGCTCTTTTTGTGTTCACAAAGAACTAGACACTAAAGGGGCACCCATCAGTTGGGCAACGGCTGAATAAATTATGATAGATGAATCTAATGGAATCCTATTAGGCTGTAAGAGACGACAAAGTGGACGGTTTCAGAGAAACCTAGGAATACTTGCATGAATTGATGGAGAGTGAAATGAGCATAACCAGGAGAACAACTTATACTATGACAACAGCATTGTAAAGACAAACAACTTTGAAACACTTAAGAGTTTTAATTCATGAAATGACCAATCATAATTACAGAGGACTGATGCTGAAACAAGCTACCGAAAGGCGATGGATGGAGAGTGTAGAATGAGATACAATTTCTGGTCATGGCCAATTCAGGAATGTATTTTGCTTTTTTTTCTTTCTTTCTTTCTTTCTTTCTTTCTTTCTTTCTTTCTTTCTTTCTTTCTTTCTTTCTTTCTTTTTCTCTCTCTTTCTCTCTCTCTCCCTCTTTCTTTCTCTCTCTCCCCCTCCCTCCCTCCCTCCCTCTCTCTCTCTCTCTCTCTCTTCACAGTGGGGGAAAAGGGAAGTGTAGGAAGGGGAGAAAACAGATCTGAAAAAAACTACATTTAAAAAAAACCCCTTGTTTTCACATGCAACTGGGAAATAAGATATACAGGAAATGGGGTATAGAAATCT